TGCAGATGACAGTGCACTATATTTTGATAACATTTCCCGAGGCATATATGAGAATGTAATTAAGGATATGAAAATTGTGTATGAATGGCTTAGAATCAACAAGCTGAGACTAAATGCTGCAAAATCTTCATTCATTGTATTTGATAGATCACCTAATCTGGACACGTTGTCAATCCCTCTGGATTTGGAAAAAGAATGCCTATTTATAGAAGAAACTAAATCTCAAAAATATTTAGGTCTCATGATAGACAATTTATTGAACTTTCATGACCATATTGATTATGTGAAATCAAAAATTGCTAAAAGAATAGGGGCACTATACAGGTCGAAAAATCTTCTTCCACTGAAATATAGAAAAATGTTTGTAAATGCTCTTATGCTCCCCCAATTTGACTACCTGGATATAATATGGTGCAGGGCTGCCAAAACCAAACTTAATTCTCTTGATATATTATACAAGAAAGTAGCAAAAATTGCTCTGGATGTTCATTGGCAGGAACCATCAGTAAATGTATATCGAAATATGAAGTGGTTACCCTTACACTTAAGAAGACAACTCCATCTGTCAACGTATATGTATAAAATTCTTAATGAGGCTGCACCATCATCATTCACAGATAAATTTTCTTATGTATCCGGAGGATCACGTGATGCTGAGAGGTGCAACCTTTATATTCACAAATCCAGAACACACAAAACCTTTACATATTTAGGTGCAAAATGTTGGAATACAATTCCAGAGAACATAAGGACTATAGAATGTAGTGTAAAATTCTCACAATGTATGAAATCTAAATTTATGTCAGATGTAATTCAAGGAGTCTCATCCTATGAAATAAACAATAGTTTCGACTATTTCTACACTCTAGCTAAGTGACAACTGAAACAAATTTTATGGGGCTGGAGTTTTTGTCGGGTGGAAAGGCCCCCTGTGTTATATATGACCTAGGTATTTCCAGAAGTATAGAACTTTAAACATCTCCTTTATTCGTTCCCATTTTTTATCATTGCCAATCTATTATTGTTCTATACTTCTCTGTATATAACTGTAAATAACATTACTAACGTTATCCCAAAGTGGGCATCTATGTAATCTTAATTGTTACCTTCATGCCCACAGTTCACTGTTAAATCATATCTTATTTTATCACTCATTATTTTATTACTCATTATGTTTACATACTATATCCTTATGTCCCTAGAAGGGTGTTCTGCTAACAGTTTTCGACTGACTTGAATGTCCTGCACAGCAGATTGAAGCTTCTTAAATTATTTTTATTCTTATTGTATTGCTGTGTAAATTTGATTCTAATTCTAATTCTAATTCTAAGAAAGTAGAAAATATATAGACAAGTCTAGATAAGAGATTGAATTGTTGTCAAATACATTACACAGATGTTACGGCTATACAATGACGTATTATTCTTGAGGCTGTAGAGTAACCATTCTGAGAGTGTTCTTTATAAATTAGATTTCATATAAAACAGTCAGTGTTACGTGACCGACTACAGTCAAAAGAATTAAAAACAGTACACTTAACATTAAATTGAATAATAATTAGGTGAAGTAGAGACAAATTTTACGCAACACACAACTGAACGCCAAGTAGTAGTGTAAGATACGTTCCGGGTGTTGTCCAAAACTGTACACTCTAGTTAAATTTAGCTAGCACATAAGTCATTATATCACTTTATCAGTACATTGTACAAAGGTCGCCTCGAACCAGATGTTCATAATGCCGATAGACAACTGATGTAATTATACGTGAACGTGTACACTATACATTTAACGACTTCTGCTGTGTGAAGTGAGCACCACACAATCACAATTAATTAAATGATTCTTTGTGGCAATCGTAAACATCGAAGTGCACACTCAACTACACTCTGCTACTAGAGTAAACAGACATATTCATTGACACTGAATTACTTCACAGAAAACAAAAGAAAAGGAGCATCTGTATGACGGGGTACACTTGTCCACGATACTAGTCAATTTAACAATAGAAGGAAGTTGGCACCTGTTCAATTGATGATTCCAAGCAGAACACCTGCTCGAAGGGATACACTTGTCTACACTACTAGTCAACTTGATCATACTTTTATTCCTATGTACGGTTATACTGTAACATGAGGATGATCGTCGACTCTTTCTACTTGATAGTCAATCAGTATACCATCCGAGCAGGTGTTCTGCAGGAGCCACCAATTGAACAGATGACACCTTCCTCCTACAATACTAAATGCAAAAGTTATATATATATAGGGAGAAATTATAAAATCTTTCCTTGTATTTTACAAAGCATAGTTGTTGGTGATTAGTGGTGCAGTTGAATTATGTGACCCGAACCTGTAATGTAAAAACACTTCAAGAACCATTAAATCCTTATATGGTATAATTTTACTCAAATTTCATATTATGAAAGCTATAAGCATGTCTTAATGTGTGGAATAATTCTACACTCCTCACGATGCTCTTGATCTAGGAAGAATGCGTTTTGCTGTAGTGTGCCACACTCCACATGGACACATAGCGGGGAAAGCCAAGAGCAAGTCTATTAGCTCAGGATAACAACAATTTCAGGAAAACAACAATTTTATTTAGTATCAATTAAAGCAAACAAAATAATATTTTATATATAACTATCAGGACCTTTATACCAGAAATCTAAGGGGACTTGGAGTAGCAATAGAGTGGCTAGAAGGTACATATACCTTTAACAAAAATACGTCAAAAAGAATCCAGGGTGGTACAGGATCGGAGAGTGCAGACCATGTAGTTTACGCACCCACCCTTGCCTCCTAAATTCTTGGTTGGATAAGCATTTATGCGAACTTGGTCGTTTATACTCCAAGTCCCTGCGTTGTAAAAGTTTATTTGTTTTTAAAAAAAATTTACCTCAGTTAACTTCATTCAACAATAAAAATATCAATATAAAAATCAAAATTTGCTAACAGTGTCTGGAAGGAACTATTGTTCTACACTAAATGAATTAGACGTCAGATAAAACAATGCCATAAATTGAACAACTGTACAATTAGAACATACAAAGAGGTTTTGGTATCATCTCTCACTTTTCCTTGCAAAGAGAAACTTTTAGGAGAAACCGATCCAAACATTATACTTATAGTTGCATGTGACACTGTATCACTTTCTATATTAATATAGAAGCCGCATGAGAGTGCAGTATAAGTGATTATAAATACCAAGCTCGTTGGACCAGGTGAGCTCCCATGCTTATGAAACTAAATGTGAATTTGCGTGTGATGTGAGTGTAACTGTAAAATAAAAGATATAAACATTGGTCTCTTACTTATTAAAGTGCTCGTCTGTTGAGCTAGTTGTCTCATCTCTCACTTTTCCTTGCAAAGAGAAGTCTTTAGGAGAAACTCAACCAATCAGACACAGCTTTTTGACCCACGTGATATGCTCCTTGGTCACGTGACAGGTTTCAACAGCCAACTAGACACTGTTCTGCAGCTCACGTGACGGTTTTAAACCAATCAGAAGGTCGAGCAGAATATATACTGTTTCGGGGTGAGATTCAACCCTGATATACTACTTAGAACCTAGTCTTCCGGACTTGTCACACGTTTTTTCTAAGTTATTGTCTCGTTTTAGTTTGAGTATTTCATTGCAAAGTTTTAACGATTTACTATGAAACAAAGGATTTTTCTTTATTCTAGCAAAAATAATCAAGAAACGGGTGATATAATATTCATTCGAATTAATAACATCGTCGATGAGTTTCGCGCGTTATTTACCTAGCTTCTCAGTTCGGCGGGGCCCAATAGCGCATCTCGCCGATCTAACGAAGATGTGGTTGCGAGAAGCATTTGCATTATTTGATGCGCGGCCCAGGTCCAGTAACGCATCTCGCTAAATACATTGTATGTTTACAAACTACCAGGACGCGCGCCGAGTTGGACTCGTCGACGGTATGGAATAGATATTTTACGAGTATCACCCGTTAATAAATACATGGTTTGTCATTAATTGTAGGTTTAAAACCTACCAAGACGCGGCGAATGGCGACGCGCGCGCCGGTCTTTAATATTTGAAACGAATATTATATTTCTGCAATTTCACGAGTCGTCGAGTATCACCCGGTAATGGGTAAAACATTAAGTCCCAGCAAATCCTACCGGCTGGGGTCTATCTCCAAAAGTAAAATTAAAATAGTTATAGAACCTAGTCTTCCGGTTTTCAACAAGATTTCAATCTCGTAAATTTAAAGCTAGCTCTCCAGGAGCAAAATTTGGGACAAATTAGATTTCGAATTAAACCGAAAAGTTCGATTTTGGGCTAAATAAAAGATCGATCGCAGCTTTTTAACTTTGCAAAGTAATGTGGTTGTCATGGTGCATGGGCTCTTACTAATTCGCTCGCCCAAACCATGCCAACAGTGACAACTTTTGCGCGTCTCCTAAATGCGCGTTAGTTTTCTTTGATAATTTCAAATTTTAGCGCCGGCGAACCACATGGTGTGGCCTTGTCATTGGTCATACGTTGTATGACACGCCGCGCACGAGTGCGCGGCTCCCCTGTATCGTTACTGGGCCGCGCTCAGCCTGTCATTCCGCCAAATCTATATTCGGCGTTAAAGGACATAATAGCATGGGGTCCTCAGGTAACCTGTATCGTCGAAACTCTACATAGTGAAGCGACAGTGGGGGTCACCACGTGATACAAGTGTGGCCTTGAAAGTTCACTCAAAACGATCCGCGCCCGCGGACAAGTCAACATTTGTGGTTTTCAGAGACCAGATATTAAGCCATCTTGGATAATGGATCATAAAAAAGGGCGAGCGATTTATCTTGGATCATAAAAAAGGCCACTTGATAAGTCTATATAGATATCAAAACTCTTTTTATCAGCAGTCAGAGTGGTTCGTTCTCATTTTACTTTTAGGGCGAGCGATTTAGTGAGCGCGCAACCGAGTACAGAATTAAATTCGCCATGAGACAAAAGCGAAATAAGACGATCGATTTTGGATAATCTAATTTATGGAGATTTGAATGTTTCATATAATACAGCAATTCAGAATTGAAATAGGGCAACTTCAAAAACCCCCTTTGAGCCCAATCATCTCAAATTAAAAATGGAGTGAAATTTACAATAACAAATCGTAAAAATAGCAAAAAAAAACACTGCACATGCAACCAAATTGAAATCAAATTTAGAGTCGTATATTTACTGCCCAGTTTTACTAGATATACTAAGCAGCTTCAAGCGTACATCTACCTTCTAAGTCTGGTGAAACGAAAGTGAAGCTAAAAATAAAATAATATTAGAACTTTATCAGTGAGCTCTTCTGAGGCACTTCTGATATTTAACATGCTATAAAATGTAAACATCGCGTGAAGTGTGTATCGTATGTAGAAGGAAACTCTTGTCAATCATTCCAATCAATAGGTATGTCATCATTTTCATCACCAGTGAAGTTGTTCGGTGATTGTACCTCAACATTATCCAGATCACACTCTAATTTTTCGGTTGCAATATCACTATTATTACCAACTCTCACAAATGTATTGTCGTCCGAATCAGAGTCCTCGATGGACTTCGATTTCTCCTCTGACTGGGATTCCGCGGAGTCCGAGTCCCACTCCTCAGTACTGCTGTCTTCTGTTCCTCTCACGGAGTCAGCTAGTGCTGCTAACACAGCTCGCTCTTCCGAATTGGACTCTTTTCTTCCTCTTTCTATGGTTATCGACTTTAATTCATTCTCTTCTGTTTCTATAATTACCGATTCCAACGCATTCTCTTCCGTTGCTTTAGAAATTGATTCTGACTCATTTTCTTCCGTTGTTATGGCTGCCGATTCCAACTCATTTTCTTTTGCTGCCTTGCCAACCGATCCCAACTCGTTTCCTTCTGTTGTCATGGTAGCAGATTCCAACTCATTTTCTTCTGCTGCCTTGGTAACCGATTCCAACTCATTTTCTTCCGTTGTCATGGTAGCCGATTCCAACTCATTTTCTTCTGCTGCCTTGGTAACCGATTCCAACTCATTTTCTTCCGTTGTCATGGTAGCCGATTCCAACTTATTTTCTTCTGCTGCCTTGGTAACCGATTCCAACTCATTTTCTTCCGTTGTCATGGTAGCCGATTCCAACTTATTTTCTTCTGCTGCCTTGGTAACCGATTCCAACTCATTTTCTTCTGTTGTCATGGTAGCAGATTCCAACTCATTTTCTTCTGCTGCCTTGGTAACCGATTCCAACTCATTTTCTTCCGTTGTCATGGTAGCCGATTCCAACTCGTTTTCTTCTGCTGCCTTGGCAACCGATTCCAACTCGTTTTCTTCAGTTGTCATGGTAGCCGATTCCAACTTATTTTCTTCTGCTGCCTTGGTAACCGATTCCAACTCATTTTCTTCCGTTGTCATGGTAGCCGATTCCAACTTATTTTCTTCTGCTGCCTTGGTAACCGATTCCAACTCATTTTCTTCCGTTGTCATGGTAGCCGATTCCAACTTATTTTCTTCTGCTGCCTTAGTAACCGATTCCAACTCATTTTCTTCTGTTGTCATGGTAGCAGATTCCAACTCATTTTCTTCTGCTGCCTTGGTAACCGATTCCAACTCATTTTCTTCCGTTGTCATGGTAGCCGATTCCAACTCGTTTTCTTCTGCTGCCTTGGCAACCGATTCCAACTCGTTTTCTTCAGTTGTCATGGTAGCCGATTCCAACTCATTTTCTTCTGCTGCCTTGACAACCGATTCCACTTCATTTTCCTTCTGTTGATCGTTCTGCTGCGAGTCATATCCCATCTCTTCCGGTTCTTTTACATGATCATGATCTTGCTGTTGTTGATCTAACGGTAATGTTTCTACATTTGATTCTCCATTCTCCTGTGTTTCCTCATAACTCTCAACATCCTCCTCCTTCTCTGACACATCCTCCTCCTTCTCTGACACATCCTTCACTTCCTCCTCCTTTTCAAGCTCCTCCTCCACCGTTTCCTTCTCTTCTGCATTCTCCTGATCATCCTTATTGACAATAACACCACCATGATCATTCTCCCCATCATTCTGATCCTCTAATGTTTCATGACTCTCATACCCCATATCTTCTTCATCAGAATTAACCACTCCAACCTGACCAGCTCCAGTACCCTCAACATCCCGCCCGGTTAGAGACTCCAACACTACAGTATTTACCCCATAATCAGGAATCTCATCACACAGCCCACCACTCGCCTCATCAACAACCACCTCATCCTCCTCGATAACATCCATACTACCACCCCCAACATCATCCTCCCCTCCTTGCAGCCCCGCAAGAATACTGTTAGTGTTCCCACTGTCCACATTTGACATTCTCCGTGCCTTATTACCGACAGCTGCCACAGATACACGTTTCTCTGCGCGGCATTCTGTTACCCGCCCCTCCTCACTCTTGCTCCCGCATTTACAGATATTGTGACGACTTTTCCACAAATACCAAAGACTTACAGACAGCACGATTGCTGCTCCTACGGAGAGGGCGATAACTGACACTAGCCATGCGGGGGCTTCACCTGACTCCAGACAGGACGACGCACCTGATTGGTTAGTTTGTGTCACGAGTCTACTTCATAAAGCTCTCTGATTGGTTGGTATGAATTAAAAGGACAGCCGGTTGACATCTTTAGCCGTTGAGCCAGCAGGCAGCGTTTTGACTGGCAGAGTAAGTGGTGGTGATGGTGACTAGGTGGGGAAGTAAGGAATGTGTTTGTGGGGTGTTTGATTATTTTATGTCAAAATAGAAAAATAAAATGTTCTGTGGTCTCTGTTATTTGATTTAAGAGAAACGAAATACAGTTCAAAGTGCACCATTAGTGATTGGTCAGATTTCAATCAAGGGACTGAAATACAGTTCTCTGATTGGTCGGATTTTAACCACGTGACTAGAAAACACTCTCTGATTGGTTCATTGAGTAATATCAGTCCTGATCTCATCTAGTTCCATCTGCAGACTACTCTCATCCTCATCCTCACTGTTCAACATGTAAGTGTAGTTCTGAGTCAGACACAGTGCCGCAAGCTGCGCTTTTAGCGCTTCGTTGTGCCACCAACACGCAATACAGCACAGCGTGGTCAGGATAAGCGTCAGCGTTACTGTGAGCGCGACTGTTGGTAAAGCAGAGTGTGGTGGGAGCAGGCAACCTGCGGGTTGTCCGGGTAATTTGCTGGTTGTCGTGGTGATTTTGAAGTTATCATGGTAATTGTAAGATCATCAAGGTAATATTTGGTGAAGTTTGTGTGGTAGGGGGGGGGGGGGGGGTCCACGTTAAAAAAAGTTAAAAAAGTTAAACTAATTAATGTTAAATTTCAAAATTCAGGCTTAGAAAGTTTAACTTTTTTATTATAAATTCAAATTTGGGTTGAAATTGCAATGGAGTGAATATTCTAGACTAGTTTACTTTCAGGTCATGCGTTGGTATTTTTGTTCATTAGTCACTACATGTAGGAATATAGGAATGCCCATGACAAGAGTAAAACAGTCATATAACATAGGTACAACCGATAAATAATTGATACATTTGATCATTACAATAATAAATTATAATTCATAGAAATATAAACAGCTGATTCATAAATAATTTTTAAAAAACAACAGATTCCATTCACAGTGTCAACACTAAAAATAGGGCTATGATAATCTATATCATTAAATCTAGTGATACTAATCGTAATGAATTAATAACTGAATAAAATTCTAATGATGTTTCATAAAAGTTATCGCTTAAACAAAGAGTCACTGTGTCACGATATTATATTACAAAATTTAAAATAGTGTCTAATGATATTTCATAAAAGTTATCGTTCAAACAATGAGTCAATTTGTCACGATATTATATTACAAAGTTTAAAAGAGTCACGTCTAATGATGTTTCAATGTAAAAGTTATCGCTCAAACAATTTGTCAATATATTATATTACAAAATTAAAAAACAGTGTCAATGAAGTAAAAATTTTACAGGTGTTACTGTAATAACGTAAATAAAAGAACTTGAGGGTCTAATTTGAAGTTACTTATATCATTTAACCTGAATATAAAAGTCTATCATTAAAATAATTTTCACTATAGTGCAGCAGAGTCCTTATCGTCGTTCATATATTTTAGAACTTCACTTGTAATACGATTAACATCATACGGTTGAGGAATCTTCATTATATCACGACATACATCATTATTCAGTAATGAAAATAGATGTTCCTCAATAATCTCTTCCTCGGACATTCCTGATATCCCAAGACTAGGGAGGCTACCTCTTATGGCCAAACAACTGGCTAAAAAAAGCACAAATCCTTCAGTACTGATCCTGAGATCGCTGAACTGTCACTTGAACGCAAGCAGCTGATGATTGCGAATATGCAGAACAAATTCCCGACCAACAGGAAGCATGTCAAGACCAACATCAACCAGAAAGAGACTCAGAGATATCAACAACCGCAGTGCTGACACACTCGTCGAAAAGGTAAATAACACAGACGACGCCCGGAGATACTTTGGAGCCTCTAAGATACTCGCCAAAGGATATGTTAGACCAGCTCTAACCGTCCACAACCCTGCTGGGAATATCGCAGGTACTAATGAGGAGAAAGCGAGGATTATTAAGGAGTACTTTGAAGCTGAGTTCAACGACGCCATGATGAGCCTACCCTTCCTGCCTTCCTTGACCCCCCATCTAGCCTTAACAGTCCCATCACCGTTGCAGAGATAGAGAGAGCCATCAGTAAACTCAAGTCTGGTAAAGCAGTGGGTATTGATAAAGTTGCTGGCGAGGTCATGAAAGCCCTGAACAACCCCCTCCTTCATGAAGAGCTGGCTAATGTGTTCAACGAGTCTTTCGAGAAAAACATTCACATTGAAGCAATAGGAGCAGGCATCCTCACACCACTGGCTAAGCCTGGTAAAACTCGTGGCCCAGTTAAGTCGATCACGACCATTGCAATTGACCCTGCTGAATGTTTCTAGAAAGATCCTGTCACTGATAGTGCTAAACAGAATAGAGAGAGCTGTGGACAACTTCACCGGACCGTTCCAAGCTGCCTACAAAGCTGGCAGGAGCTGTGCCGACCTAGTTTGGGCACAGAGCATGCTCATATCTGTAGTAATGAAGAAGGAGTTTGAATGGAACAAAGTGAGTATCGACATGTCAGCTGCCTTCAATACCATCCGCAGAGGTACAACAATCAGAAGCTGCAGGATGCTCCAGAGACGACCTGAGGCTTGTACAATACCTCATGGCTAACACCACTCTAGTAGTCAGAGTGTGTTCTACTGACTCAGAGATGTTCTCTTTCAACATAGGAGCCTCCCAAGGAGACAGCACAGCTGGTAAATTGTTTACCCTCAATCTAGCTGGAGCTGTAGTGCACATAAGAGCAGTCCTCCCCTCAAGACCCAACCCTCCGATAGCCGATAACCACATGCCTCTTGAGTCCGGCTATTCAGACGATTTAGAGGAGATTGGTGAAGATATGGAGGAGTTACAGGATATCTTTCAGATCTCCAAGAATATTCTCAGTGAATGGAGTCTCTTTGTCAATGACACAAAGACAAAGTTTACCAGAGTGTATTTAGAAGAAGTTGGTGCCTGTGACGAGTGGGATAATGAACTAAGAGGAAAAGAGGAGTGGAGAAACGAGACGCTTCTTGGTACTAAGCTTGGATCAGAGCAGGATGTTACTAATAGAATAAATAAAGCTAACTCTGCCTTCTGGTCATTTGACAAGCTGTGGTGCCAGGGATCAGAGAGGAGTCAGATAACTGAGAAGAGAAAGATCAAACTCTACAACTCACTAGTAGTATCAGTGTTCCTGTACAACTGCTGCTGCTGGGCCGTACCTCAGCATGTTCTAGAGTCTGTAGATGTTCTTCAGAGGAAGCACCTCAAGCGCATCCTAACATCCTACACATATATTGGCCTAGCTCAATATCTAACAAGGCCCTCTACGCTCGTACCCAGACCAGGCCCCTTTCCGAGAGAGTGGAAAAGGCACGGTGGACAATGCTAGGTCATGTTCTACGCAGTTGCAGTGACAACAACACACCTGCCTACCAGTCTCTGTTATTTGCTACACTAGGATGTCAAACACTAAAGGGACGAGTGGGTAGACACAGGACTAATTTGTATGATATTATTGTGAAAAAGGACCTATTTAAGAGACAAATTTATTTAAAAAATGAAGATGATTTTACCAACTTAGTGAACTTAGCAAGAGATAGAGTAGGATGGAGGATTTTATTTACTTTGAGACATATTGAACGAATGAGTCTTCGTAAGCGTAAATAGGCCAGCACTTTGCTGAGCCTCTTTAGGTGCTCTTTTGTTTATAGATGTTATTATATTATATAACTGGCTAAATGGCTCTTTAGATTATGAGAGCATCTATGTTTTGAAACAGAACTTCGATCTGGTTGTTTCACTTTCACACACCCCAATAGGTTCTTTACCTGCTTTAAGACTTCAGGGACTTCATTTTCAATATCTTCCGCGCTATCAATTACATTTAGATATTTCTTTGAATCCTGATTATTTTTTATTTCATTCAACGATCTATGCACAAGTTCCTCATCGTCACAACTTTTCAAATTGCTTGGACCTAGTGATCTAGTTAACTCTAGCATTACCGCAATGTGGGAAATAAAGGCAAAAGAATGCTTCCCTGTCACATTTGCATGGACATAATTAGTAGACAGCTTTCCTTGTATTTTTGGAATAGATTGAATAGTTTCCGATGACAAGATTGGTTTCACTCTAGCTATTGGGCATGGCTGATGCACAGTATTCTGCACCACATCATCTGTACTCTTTGTTCCATTCTGACATTCCGGGGTAGGTAAAATACTCATCATCCGACGACGTCTTTTCTTAGATTTTAGTCTTAATACCCGCTCCATGGATCGCACAATTGATAACGTAGGACACCTGGATTTTTTTCCTCCGAAAATATTGTATATATTCTGTAGGCAAGCTTCCTCTAAAGAACACCCAAGTCTGAATAAAACCTGTTGAATTGCTTTGGCCTTGATAATCTGGCCAGGTACCATGTCGTTACACTTCCACAATTCAATTTCAAAATTCGTCCTGACCGTGCATCTATCTTTAATCGTTTCGGCATCGAGCGCCTTTCTTCCGGATTTCTCCTTACAAAGTTTGTTTTTCGGCGTGGAAGTGCCATCTTCTGTGGCGAATCTTGTAGAAAGTTTGTTTAAAACAGTCTCTTTCTTCGCAATCACAGGCTTATCACCTTTTCCATCGTGTACTGGCAGTCTAATTGTACTCAGAGAACTTGTTGGAGGAGTATTTCTAGAGTTCAATTTGTCCCGATTTCCCTGCTGATTCTCATTCTTGATTGCAGTTCCACCTTCAATGAGTCGTGTAGACAACTTGTTAAGTGCTGTTTCTTTCTTTGAATTTAACACTTTCTTGCTGCTGTTTATCTTATCAACATCAATTGGTCGTCCAATTGTGAATTTAGAATTGTCTACTGTGGGAGTTCTCGTGGTTAAATTATCAGTGTTAGCCCGCAAATGCTCCTTCTTCTTCAGACCCGTCGATGAAGATTTATCCATAATCGTCAATTTGCTTTGCACCGTCGGTTTCTTAATCTTTGGAATCCTAAAAGTAGGGACAGCTCTCCTCTTGAATGAGTTGCTTGTTATTATCGCAGTAGTGATAACATCAGCAGATGATTCGTCTTCAGAATCATATTGAGTTCTAGGTTTTGATGAATCAGCAGCCCTTTTTGAAGTGTTGACAACAACTGATACGTCCTCAGTAGATGGTTCGGGTACAGGGATTACAGCTGGAGGAAGCTCCGGAGTATCAATACCTGATGATGTGTCCTCAGTAGATGGTTCGGGTACAGGGATTACAGCTACAGGAACCCTTCAAGCGAATGAGCGACTCTCCTGATGCCTTCGCTAAATTGCAACGTAAACATCTGTCGTATGTGAGACTTTCCATAACCCTTCCGCACTTACACAGCCAAGCCATATTCTTTTTTCGTATTATATGAATGATTATATTAGTAAATTATACAATTATGTGTTTATATAAATACAAGCTGTTTTTTTTGTAGAGTTATCAAATCAGTTACAACTACAGAAAACAATTGCAAGAGCGAGGTACTACTAGTACTAAAGGTCAACACTCATAATTGAGTTTAATTTGGGTAATTATGTTAAAATTTGAACCGATTAGTCAGCCAAAATCTGATTTTTAATTTATGTTAAAAAAGTTAAAAAAGTTAAAGTAATTAATGTTAAATTCCAAAATCTCGATCTTAGAATTTAACTTTTTTAACGTGGACCCCCCCCTGTGGTAATTATAATAACCATTAGTTTTTTAATTTGGGAAGATGTATTTTCATGGACTGCTCTGTTTAGCATTTTGGCTCTTTGATACATATCATGTAAAGGAGCTACCCAGGCCCGATGAACACAACTGCAACATAGCACGATACAAGCGAAGTGTAGCAGCTATCGTTTGTACTCTAAATCTAGCTAGTATCAAAGTGTGTACTTAGTACACACACAGTGTACTAGCTATTATAGCTATAATAGCTATAATAAAACTGCATTAAGCTGGCATTTTGAAATTTCAAAATCGAAACTTTTTATTGAAATTACCTTCGTCGGTTCTCAAATTAGGACCTGACATGGTCTTTTCGAACACTGGATCCGAAACTGAAAAAGATGAGGACATATAATAAAGAATTCCTCACAGATTTTCGAAACAATTTAATTTAACCCCTTCAACATTCATTTTTAAATTACGAGGTTGTCACTATTGCAGCTCTCTTATTGGTTAGCAAGTATCACGTGACTAGAATACAGCTCTCTTATTGGTTAGCTAGTATCACGTGACTAGAATACAGCTCTCTTATTGGTTAGCAAGTATCACGTGACTAGAATACAGCTCTCTTATTGGTTAGCTAGTATCACGTGACTAGAATACAGCTCTCTTTTTGGTTAAACTCACCCTGACAACTGGTAGCTATCTTGAACCCTACTCTTCCGGTAATTCTGTCGTGCAGAACAGTAAGTCGTTCTAGAAAAGCTGCACCCAGTATCGTACCAGCTTCACTCTTCTGCACTCCAAACCTGCACAGGAATAAGTGTGAGTTGTGAATGTTTTAGATCGTAAGACCACTTTCGGGCACTTTCTGTATTCATTATTCAAAGATATTATTTCCTGTATTATTTTGTAGAAAATGTTAAGTTTTGAGATAGGTTCTGATATTATAGCCCCAGAGCGGATTTGAACTCTCTGCCCTGGAGCAAAATGAGCAGAACGTTCAATGTATGTATGGAGATAACTTATACTTTTAAACTTTGATATTTCACAGAGATATAAAAAATATCTCAGTAGTATAAAAATACTGATCTTCTTACATATAGCACTTAGTTTTATCACTCATCTGCCCCTGTTTGTTGATACTGTCCATAGTTTGTCTGACGTATTGCTGAAAACAAGATCAATTTAGCTCTGGTGGTTTTTACCAATTAATCAACAATATTTACAAAACACCAGGACCCCTATCAACTTAGGGGATGAGAGTGCATACACTCGAATTTAAATAAATCTCGTAATAAATTAAGGTTGGGCGTGGTGAAAAGTGGTGAAAAGGAAACCTGTGGTGGGATATTGACCGCGAACTGGTGAGTCTTATTGTAAGCTACGTTCACCACAATTTCTGGGAACCACGTGAATATGACAGACTGTAGGTCCTCTTTGCAAAGGAAATTCTCTCGTACAATGAATTTGTTAATGTCAGCGTGAGTCACTCCATTCTGATGTTGAGTAGAAATTAGAATATATTTTAATACATATGAAGTCATGCTAATCTCGCGCTTTTTATTTGAAAACAAAATAACACAAAAACAATCCCTCCCTATTTGAATTCTAGATTTTTTTACAAATGTTCTCCATATCCCACCTTCGAACCATTAGCTGCGATGTACGAAAATGACTCAATAGCCGCCAGGACCTTGAAATACACAACTGTTGGCAGGAGAAGATTAGTTGTGCCGCTGTCTAGTATCGCATGCGGTTTGTTTAGCTGCAAATATTGAGTGTTAATTTTATCAAATTTGTGGCCGTGAGATTATAAAATTGGTGCATGCATAATGTATGTATTATTGTTATTGGATAATAATGATGATTAGACATATTTTCAATATTTATGCATTTCATATTTTTAGGGACTGTACAGTTATAGAGAGCTCAGAGCGAATCTATAATATCGTACAAGCTGAATATCGTTATAAATATCATCAGCTGGATATCATGCAATTCAATTCAAGCAAGCTAAGATCGACCATGCATGCATGCATGCAGCGCATGTAGATCGATCAGATCGAATTGCGCGCGCCAGTTTTCTTATGTGTGGCTTGCTTGCGCGTTCCAGATATGACATTCATCCAGGGGGTGTCAGAAGGACTTTCGACAAATCTGTTCCAAATAAAAAGTTCGAAAATCGAGTGTTTTAGTGAATAACTTAGAATATATTTTTGATTTTCTCAAGATCTGAATGTTATATTTTCTTTAAACTTTCCAGATAGTTAGATGGCTATATGACAGATAATGTGTGAGAGTTTGGGAGAATTTCTATATGCCAAAATGGAGATATGACTTCAAACACAAGAAAATATCTTCATATTGGGGGTTTCTAGTGGAACACAGGCCTATATTTAGATATCTGAATGAGAAATTTCCTTAAAACTTTCCAGATGGCTATAAGACGGATAATCTGTGCGATTTTGGGCGAGTTTCTATGTGCCAAATTTGAGATGTGACTTCAAACGCAAGAAAATATCTCCAAATTGGCGATTTCTAGCGGAAAAAAGTCATATATCTCGAGATCTGAATGATAGAATTTCTTTAAACTTTCCGGATAGTTACATGGCTATAAGACGGATAATCTGAGCGAGTTTGGGCGAATTTCTATGTGCCAAAATTGAGATATGAATGGGGAAGAGGAGGAGGAGGAAGAGGAGGAGTTGGAGGAGGAAAAGGACTCAGGAGGAGGTGGACTCAGGAGGAGGACTCATGAGGAGGAAGACTCAGGAGGAGGATGAGGACTCAGGAGGAGGAGGACTCAGGAGGAAGAGGTGGAGGAGGAAGAGGAGGAGGAGGAAGAGGACTCAGGTGGAGGTGGACTCAGGAGGAAAGGACTCAGGAGGAGGAAAACTCAGGAGGAAGATGAGGACTCAAGACGAGGAGGTGGAGGAGGAAGAGGAGGAGGAGGAGGTGGAGGAGGAAGAGGACCCAGGAGGAGGTGGACTCAGGAGGAGGTGGACTAGAGGAGGAAGAGGAAGAGGAGGAGGAGGAGGTGGAGGAGGAAGAGGACCCAGGAGGAGGTAGACTCAGGAGAAGGACTCAGGAGGAGGAAGGCTCTGGAGGAGGATGAAGACTCAGGAGGAGGAGGACTCAGGGGGACTCAGGAGGAGGAGGACTCAGGGGGACTCAGGAGGAGGACTCAGGAGGAGGAGGATGAGGATGAAGAGGACTGAGGAAGAGGAGGAGGAGTTGGAGGAGGAAAAGGACTCAGGAGGAGGTGGACTCAGGAGGAGGACTCATGAGGAGGAAGACTCAGGAGGAGGATGAGGACTCAGGAGGAGGAGGACTCAGGAGGAAGAGGTGGAGGAGGAAGAGGAGGAGGAGGAAGAGGACTCAGGTGGAGGTGGACTCAGGAGGAGAAGGACTCAGGAGGAGGAAAACTCAGGAGGAGGATGAGGACTCAAGACGAGGAGGTGGAGGAGGAGGTGGAGGAGGAAGAGGACCCATGAGGAGGTGGACTCAGGAGAAGGACTCAGGAGGAGGAAGGCTCAGGAGGAGGATGAAGACTCAGGAGGAGGAGGACTCAGGGAGACTCAGGAGGAGGAGGACTCAGGGGGACTCAGGAGGAGGAGGACTCAGGGGGACCCAGAAGGAGGAGGAAGATGAGGATAAGGAGAACCGAGGATTAGAACTGAGGAGGAAAATAAGGACTGAGGAGGAGGAGGAGGATGGGATGAGGGGGAGGAGGGACAGGGGGGGAAGAGGAGGAGGAGAAGGACTGAGGAGGAGGAGGACTAAGGAGGATGAGGAGGAGGAGGAGAAGGAGGAGAAGGAGGTGGAGGAGGACGACTGATGAGGACGCGCCAATTTGAGATATTTTCTTGTGTTTGAAGTCATATCTCAAGTTTGGCACATAGAAATTCGCCCAAACTCGCTCAGATTATCCGTCTTATAGCCATGTAACAATCTGGAAAGTTTAAAGAAATTCTATCATTCAGATCTCGAAATATTTGCCTGCGTTCCGCTAGAACGCGCCAATTTGAGATATTTTCATGTGTTTGAAGTCATATCTCAAGTTTGGCACATAGAAATTCGCCCAACCTCGCTCAGATCATCCGTCTTATAGCTATGTAACTATCTGGAAAGTTTAAAGAAATTCTATCATTCAGATCTCGAAATATATGCCTGCGTTCTGCTAGAATGCTCCAATTTGAGATATTTTCTTGTGTTTGAAGTCATATCTCAAGTTTGGCACATAGAAATTCGCCCAAACTCGCTCTGATTATCCGTCTTATAGCCATGTAACTATCTGGAAAGTTTAAAGAAATTCTATCATTTAGATCTCGAAATATATGCCTGCGTTCCGCTAGAACGCGCCAATTTGAGATATTTTCCTGTGTTTGAAGTCATATCTCAAGTTTGGCACATAGAAATTCGCCCAAACTCGCTCAGATCATCCGTCTTATAGCTATGTAACTATCTGGAAAGTTTAAAGAAATTCTATCATTCAGATCTCGAAATATATGCCTGCGTTCTGCTAGAATGCTCCAATTTGAGATATTTTCTTGTGTTTGAAGTCATATCTCAAGTTTGGCACATAGAAATTCGCCCAAACTCGCTCTGATTATCCGTCTTATAGCCATGTAACTATCTGGAAAGTTTAAAGAAATTCTATCATTCAGATCTCGAAATATATGCCTGCGTTCCGCTAGAACGCGCCAATTTGAGATATTTTCTTGTGTTTGAAGTCATATCTCAAGTTTGGCACATAGAAACTCGCCCAAACTCACTCAGATTATCCGTTTTATAGCCATGTAACTATCTGGAAAGTTTAAAGAAATTCTATCATTCAGATCTCGAAATATATGCCTGCGTTCCGCTAGAAGACGCCAATTTGAGATATTTTCTTGTGTTTGAAGTCATATCTCAAGTTTGGCACATAGAAATTCGCCCAAACTCGCTCTGATTATCCGTCTTATAGCCATGTAACTATCTGGAAAGTTTAAAGAAATTCTATCATTCAGATCTCGAAATATATGCCTGCGTTCCGCTAGAATGCTCCAATTTGAGATATTTTCTTGTGTTTGAAGTCATATCTCAAGTTTGGCACATAGAAATTCGCCCAAACTCGCTCTGATTATCCGTCTTATAGCCATGTAACTATCTGGAAAGTTTAAAGAAATTCTATCATTTAGATCTCGAAATATATGCCTGCGTTCCGCTAGAACGCGCCAATTTGAGATATTTTCCTGTGTTTGAAGTCATATCTCAAGTTTGGCACATAGAAATTCGCCCAAACTCGCTCTGATTATCCGTCTTATAGCCATGTAACTATCTGGAAAGTTTAAAAAATTCTATCATTTAGATCTCGAAATATATGCCTGCGTTCCGCTAGAACGCGCCAATTTGAGATATTTTCTTGTGTTTGAAGTCATATCTCAAGTTTGGCACATAGAAATTCGCCCAAACTCGCTCTGATTATCCGTCTTATAGCCATGTAACTATCTGGAAAGTTTAAAGAAATTCTATCATTCAGATCTCGAGATAATCGACTTTCGTCAAATATCGTTCCGCGGAACATGATACGGAACGGAAAGTCCAACTCGGGGGTGTTTTCTTGGTATATTGTGGCACTGCCCCGTCTTGAAATTTGCATATCATTTAAAACTAACACGTAGCATGATCGGTCTAAACTCTTACTTTATATAGATTCTAGCGCATTGCAGATATTTAGGTCTTTTCAACATTTTATAACAGCAATAAATTAAGCTTTAATAACAGCACTTTAAGATCCAAATATCTTAATAATTTAGTACCTCAAAGCACTCCTCAACAATTGCAGTTCCGTTAACAGTGAGATCAGTTAGTTCTATCTGATAATACCACTCCCTAACCAGATCTGTGTACTGGTAACTTTCATCTGCTGTAGCATTTAATTCCTGAAATTATTTGTATTCGTATCATATATTGCATGAATTAAACGAAATCAAAGATATATCTGCATGCAACAGATGTTGGGAAAATCTGTTTCAAGGGTACAGTTTACCACATTAGGGTATTTTCATGAATCATTTTTGTCTGTAAGATCCTGTTTTATAATAATAATAATGTATCAGATGCCATCTTGGAGTAGGTGTTCTCCTACACCTTTTCAGTCTCGATATGGTGAAAATACCAATACTAGGCATGCAAGCTGCAAAGCTGTAATGTGAAGGTGATCGCAGCCTTTACAGAAGACTATAAGGTCATAATTTTCCTATATTTAATGCTACAGAACCTATATTTAATGCTACAGAACGATAGTTTTAAACTGTTTTCACAACTACAATTAAATACATTTATTGAGTATATGAGTATGACTTAGTCTTAGAAATGTCGATACATTATTCAGCTTTTTATTTCTATTAGAATCTGTCTTCACTGATTATATTTAGAGACAATCAGAAATTTGAATGAAAGAAACATCAAATCATGAGATTCAATAATAATAAACGAGTCAATCAGAACGATTTTAACTTATTATTATATAAACCCCAGATTCCAGAAGTTTCCAGTATGGTTACGAATCTGTACACTTATATTGAACTTGGTGTCACTTGGCCATTGGGAAAGTGGCAATTAACAGGTCATTTACAGGTCATTTTAACCGTTCTGTGGTTTAATGGGCCATTAAGTGTGCACTCTGCAGTTAACTATTGTAATGGGGCACTGTTACAATAGTTACAATAGTCAGCTGTAGAGTCGCTACAAAAATATATGGAGCATGTACCTAGTATGTACCTAGTATGTACCTATAGTATGTACCCAGTATGAACCTATAGTATGTACCTATAGTATGTACCTATAGTATGTACCTATTATGTACCTATAGTATGTACCCAGTATGAACCTATAGTATGTACCTATAGTATGTACCTATAGAGTATGTACCTATAGTATGTACCTAGTATGTACCTATAGTATGTACCTATAGTACTTACCTTTAAAGGATACATGATCAGTTATGTTTTATAATTCTCATGGTTCATTAAAATCATTATCATATTATAATCATTCTCATTAGTTATGTCATCACTTCAAGAACATGATAAAACTAAGGAATCAATTTTCCCTTTTAGAGTAGATACTCGTTGGATGTCTCTCGCCACATCTTAAAATAATTAGGAAATTTTGCCAAAAACAGCCCTGGAAAAATAACTGCTAATACGTGATGATTTTTGATAAAGATTTGATTTGAAACTTTTATATAAATAGTACATTTACAATACAACAATGGAATAAAAGAAAGAAACGACATCATGACGTACTAGGGTAAAAGGTTTAACAGTAAGAAAAGTACAACAATTACTAACGAGTAACCCGTCAAGTTTTGTAGTGTTCTGGTCTCTTCGTCCACATAGCTCAATACTGAACACTTGGCTCACTGCACCTTTAGCAGACAGACTGTCTAGTACGGTATCAGCTGTACTCGGCTCAGGCTGAAATATAGTCACGTGATTATATGGGGAGTAGCTTGCAACTGTATAACTGTGAACGAGCACAGTAACTATGTACTAACAAGGTCCCCATACACGTGTGTTTGAATTATTCAAATACCCTGAGTATCGAACAATACTCTCAACCCCTCGTTACCACATTTGGCTGGATAACAAGTATGCCGTGGCCTGGTAACTGGGCCTGTCTAAGTGGTTTACTGTGTAATTTAGGGGTAACAGTAATGTGTAATTTAGGGGTGTGATTTAGGGGTAACACTTAACAGTGTCGGGACACACAGTGTGTTCTTCTGTGAAGCAATGGGGAAATGGCTAAAAGGTATTGTGTAGATTGTGGGAAGTGGTGGTATAAGATGTAGGAGTTATGAGGTACTTATAAGGTACTTATAAGGTACTTATAAGGTGCCTATAAGGTACCACCTATAAGGTACCTATAAGGTACCACCTATAAGGTACCTATAAGGTACCACCTATAAGGTACCACCTATAAGGTACCTATAAGGTACCACCTATAAGGTACCTATAAGGTACCACCTATAAGGTACCACCTATAAGGTACCACCTATAAGGTACTTATAAGGTATTTATACCTAGTAAACGGGTACCTGCATGAGTCTTTTGTAGCCGAGACCCAGAATTCCCTGCCATAATGTAGGCGAAACAAAGAAGTTGGAGGAAGATGTTATCAGAGCGACATCGACACTGCCACTACCACCTGAGATAATGGGAGGTTAGTTAGAGGTAATTTAGAGGTAAGTTAGAGGTAAGTTAGAGATAAGTTAGAGGTAAGTTAGAGATAAGTTAGAGGTAATTTAGAGGTAAGTTAGAGATAAGTTAGAGGTAAGTTAGAGATAAGTTAGAGGTAAGTTAGAGGTAAGTTAGAGGTAATTTAGAGGTAAGTTAGAGGTAAGTTAGAGGTAATTTAGAGGTAAGTTAGAGGTAAGTTAGAGATAAGTTAGAGGTAATTTAGAGGTAAGTTAGAGATAAGTTAGAGGTAAGTTAGAGATAAGTTAGAGATAAGTTAGAGGTAATCTAGAGGTAAGTTAGAGGTAAGTTAGAGGTAAGTTAAAAGTAATTTAGAGGTAAGTTAAAAGTAATTTAGAGGTAAGTTAGAGATAATTTAGAGGTAAGTTAGAGATAAGTTAGAGGTAAGTTAGAGGTAATTTAGAGGTAAGTTAGAGGTAAGTTAGAGGTAAGTTAGAGGTAAGTTAGAGGTAAGTTAGAGGTAATTTAGAGGTAAGTTAGAGGTAAGTTAGAGGTAAGTTAGAGGTAAGTTAGAGATAATTTAGAGTTATTAATTGGGATATAGCAAAGTTAATCGGACTAATCAGAAGAATATAAGAATCTATCGTTTTTAAGATGATGAATACTGCAAGTCGTAAACAGTACAATGTATTGCATATTGCATATTATATATCTACCGCGATGAAGCTAAATTAGTTTAACGCTTATATACAATTTATACATGTATAAAAGCTGAAAGTAATAGTAATCGTTAGTCGATATCTAGATCCTTTCTAATTTGCTGTCATAATGTAACGTTGTGTCACAACACATACATTTATATTATGATGAATCATCAAATCGGGGTTTGCAGTAAATCGGGGTTTTTTGTTTACATTGCATTGTGTATGTTAAGCCCTATTTGGGGAAAGGAGATGGCTCCGGTAAATCGGGGTTTGCGGTAAATCGGGGTTTTACTATACAAATTGAAATACTCACAGGTTTCACAGAACATAAAGATATCACTAGCGAAGTATCCCTGCCAAGTGCCATTAAAGTACTGAACTTTTATACTTTTATCAGGACTTCCTTTGAATGAAGTAGACCTGAAATATTGGAAAATAAGCTATTAAAATTATGAGAGCTGTCATGTGAATAATTTCAGTTTCAAGAGCCACCCATAAAACAATTGGAGATGATGCAGATAGGCGATGTTTTACTGTATTTAGAAACTCGATATGTAAGCATCCATCTCGATAAGTAAATATTAATCGGCGCGTCGTCGTTGTGCACCCCTGAAACCTCCCACTTCCTCCTTAATTTCACCTACAACTGGTAACTGGCGCCACTGGTTACTGGCACCACTGGTTACTGGCGCCACTGGTTACTGGCGCCACTGGTTACTGGCGCCACTGGTTACTGGCGCCACTGGTTACTGGTGCCACTGTCAGCGCTATTAACATCATGATTATACATTGCATCTTAGTGTGGCAATAAATGCAATCATTACAATAATCAGACGGCTGTACTTATTCATGGTTAAACTCATGCGATAAGAATTTCATTTGTCATGTTAGATCATTGATTTTCCGATTATCATGGGATTCAAATTAGCACCACTTGTTAAATTTAGAGTTCTGTGTTACACATTTGCATTACCAGTATAATTAATATCAAAGTAAGATAATTATATCAGAATAATTTACGGGTTATCTATGCATGTAGCTCCAAATCATTACGGAATAAGAATGGAATTATGGAGGACTGATTTAAGACACTCATTATTTATTCATTATTCATTATTCATTATACCTGTTCATTATTCATTAATACCACACTGCGAATAATAGAATTTAAATAATGTTAAACGGCTATAATGGCAGACGCATTATATACAGATCTTTGATATTGATCTTTGAATTTCACTGCAGCATGGATATCAAGGATAATATATAAACCTTATTCAGATCTGACATTTAGGAATCATGATAATTTAAAAAGAACCTGCCTGTTAAAGTAATAAGTCGCCTCTATTTAATTTGTTAGCTAAATTTTCACTCGCAGGTCATCTGTTCTCACAGAATCAAGCTAGGGGACGTCGAAAATTGTATCAAATATCTTTATGAAGGAGCAAATTGTTAATTGTATCTTGCAGCCATATTATTATATAATATATTCTATACGAAACCAAAACTCATATTCGAAACTAATACAGAAGTAGTCAAAAAACGAACTTTTTCTATTTTCTATTAATCTGTGTGTACAGGAGTTACTTGTTCACACTGGACTTAAGTTTTACACATTCATAATATTCTACCTGTACTTACCATAAGTAACGGGTAATTAATACTACATATATATGTAAAAAAGAATACCTATATTACTTACTTTATGTTACTGTATAGTGTATGTCACTGTATTACTTACACACCTCATCTAGTGGTACTCACAAAAGAAACAGATATAAGCTGTGCTGTGTGCACCTGTTAACCTCACATACACTGATTATTATATACAAATTAGTACGGTATATATTACATATATATTACTATATTATATAGTATTGTAGTATAGTATTTATTATGGTACTGTATATATTAGCGACAAGAGAAAAGCCATTGTCGCGTCGGACGTGAGGACTCCTCAAACTACATTAAATATATTCCTTCTGGACTGTAACGTCCTCAATAAATGTATTTAATAGTAGTTGTGAAAATAGTTTAATGGTATTGAATGTGGAATATATATATGATACATGTTGGGAACTATCACACCTTATTTCGAGGTAACATGCAATAACGCGATAACTTCTCTCTGTCTCTCTCCTTGTTACCATAACAACACGAGATGTTGGACACTTAGAACAGCTGCTGACTGATTGTACCACATGATTGTACCACGTGACTGTATCATGCTAAATAGACATCTCATGCGTCTTTTAAGCTGAATAACTGAATATGAATAGGTCCAACCCCATAGACAATTTTTCTTTTATGAAGTTTCTATTTTATAATGGTCCTTTCCTTACAATAACCACTGCACGGTACGTATAATTACTCTCACATCGCCACCTTCATCTAACAAGAGTTCACTTGACGTACGCTCTTTTTAAGCTGGGAAGATCCAATGCTTCATTTACACAGGAATATCACATCTGGCTGAGGTCGCTCTACACAGGCACACAAACAACAATGGGCTATAATACTAACGACAATGCAGTGCACCTAGACCTAGTATTACGTCTTGTGTATGTAGATCTGTCGATCTGTGGGTCGATCATGCATGATAATAAAAGGGAAAAAACATCGTGCAAATCGTGATAACTCAGGACAATATGAGAGCCTCCACTCACTATAAAATTAAATATAGAATTCAATTGTCGTTTCGGCTATGCTCTAACTAAACATCTCTTTCCAGTTCTGCATAAGCAAAAAATTTAAAGATTATGTAGATCAACAAAAATTGGCAAACATGATTGGACAGCTAATTGCTAATTAATTAATTAGCTAATTGCTTCCACGTGTCAAAACATTTATGTCAACTCCTCCCCAGCATCCAATTTAATTGGAATTTTTAAATAAAACTGAAAATCTTAACAAATTCTTACTGTTCACTGATGAAGTATTTATCAATCCCCACATCAGCAGACCCCGCAATTGCAAAGTTTGAGCTGCCAGTGTCGACCACTACACTAAACTTCTGGGCAGGACTTCCTGAATTATAAGTAAGTTAGAGGTAAGTTAGAGGTAATTTACCTCATCATGCATCACATAAAAATTGATTTCTGAAAATTTTTGAACATGGTCATTTTAGCTAATATTTGGCGGAAAGACTTTTAAACCACAATATCATAATCGAAAATTTGAGTATTTCAAACTAAGACGCGCAACCCCCTCATCAACTTAATAAAAATTAATTAATTAGTATAAGACCTAGGAATATGTCTATGAAGTATCCTTGTTCGGGTCTCCCTGTAACCTGCACATCTGTCTCTCTCTTCCACACCCTGTTGTTGTCAGGATCTATTGTGTAATTCAATGTTTAGTTCTAGAGAGTATGAACATAAATGTTTAAGATGACAATGGCGATGTGTGCCCATTATATTATGTTACAAAACTGAATATGAAATATGAGTTCATGCTTTCAATGCATTATTTCTACAAAATACTTTTGTTTTTGGGGAACACAGAACTTCTAATTAAATAACGATATAATCACAAACCAATGAGACATATTATTATAGAATGCAAGTGTAGTTACCTTGAATACTCCCTCGTAGAGGAAGTTTGATGGCTGACTCAATGTGAACAGTTAGTAGAAAACAGAGGAGGGAGAGCGATACTGCCATCCATTAATATATCATCTCTTTGCTGCATTGATTACAATGTAGTGGAAAATAAAGTGTGTACAGTCTGGCCAGACTAGCTCATCAGTCTTATGATTCTCAGAAATGTGTTTTTGTTGGTTACAATTCTGCCGTCCAATTTCCTATCCGCTTGACCTATTCTTTTTTCTTCTATCAGTTGTGACGGAATTGTAATGAACAAAATCCATATATAATTATTTATGATATGTTTGATTTTTTGTTATTGTATGTCATTCAAATTTGGTAGACGGCCCCAACGTTAATGTGGCTCTTGCTATGTGTTGATTCAGCCGAATTAATTATTATGTAATCAAGTTTATTTTTCTCTTTTAGTTAGTTGTCATCCGGCCAAACATTAAGCAACTTATATTGCAGTTCCATTTATCAATTAGTATATCAAAATATGTCATTGTAATTTTGCATGGCTGAAATGTAACGCTTGATTTATATATATAATAATTAATTGAATTTTCAAATAAAAAAAGTAGTAAAAGATGTACCTCATCACGCCAAGCAGTTATGCTTGTAGGTGAATATACACTTATAGAGTACAACAACTTTATAACACTCCTTATGATTGGAAATTGACCCGAGTGAGGAGGGTTATCCTCACATTGATTAACGGATTGGAATCTCCTTGGAGATATGGCGTTTACTCGTCAAAGGGAAGTTGTATGGTTTGATGGTTATGCCAGTAGAGTGACACGACTTCCCCTCTCACTCTGCGCCTACCTGACTTCTAACTGAGGGTGACGTTTCTACGTCGGGCACCCTCACGAAAACAAATGACTGGGAAGTCCCTTGGGTGTGAACCCCAGCTCCCCTGCTACTATTTCACCCACAGCAACTAATAGCCAGCAAGATGATAGTGGAAACAACACAGGACGGAGTGTCACACACGACCAACAGTGTGATAAGTGTAAAAGGTGGTTTAAGCACGTGAAGAAACACGCGAGATTTTGTAAGCAGACACCGGACAAGAGCCTGGAAGAGGATGCCGTAGGCATTATCGGTCAGGAAGGAGGTAACACGGAGACGGAACCCAGCCAGGATACAAACCACAGTGCAAAATGGAGGACGTCTACGTCTGCAAACTTTAGATCTCACGCAGATCCACCAGAACCGGTAGTTATTAAAACTCGATTAAAACTACCTAAGGCCAATGATATTAGGTGGGACAAGATTGATCAAGACCTCGGTCTAATTGGTCTCCAGTTCACTACACACAGCGACCCTAGTAAGGGTTTGGAGTTACTTGAGAACACCACCTATGACTACCTCGAGTTGATATGCGAAGTTGGTTCAACAAACATTATACCATCGAAGAAAAAACCGAGACTTGATGCTGAGTGCAGACAGTTGAGGGAAATGAAGAAAGAGAGTAGAAAGGAATGGAAGAGAGTATGTGACTCGAATGATGATGAACAGGTTAAAAGACAGAAGATTTCTTACCTGAAACTAGTACGACTTCATAACAAAGCAAGAAAGACCGCCCAGAAGAAAGAAAGGAAAAAGATGAAAGAGAATAGCTCCAAACTCTTTAGAAGAAACCCTTATGAGTATGGTAAGAAACTGCTCACGAAGGAAGAGACTAAAGATAAAGAGCCTGAGTTCGACAGTGAAGAAGCATCTAAGTTCTTTGAAAAGGAGTACAAAGATGATGACCGAGAGCGTGACTATGTAAACCCCACAGGACTGAAAGACCTTGACAAACCTAATTGGATCTGCAGTACAGCGCCACCCACATGGGATGAATTCCACCTAAAGCTTAAGTCAAGGAGAAATAAGTCAGCACCTGGGTCAAATGGTGTCAACTACCTGATCTACAAGAAGTGTCGAACTTTCAGTCACCATCTACACCATCTGATATGCAGGATTTGGAAAACAGGAGTTGTCCCCCCACAGTGGAAGGTGGGAGTGAGTACATTAATTCCTTAAACGGATGATCTAAAAGATCCTGGCAAGTTCCGAAACATCACACTCCAAAACTGTAGCGGGAAGCTGTTCTTTGCCATCTGGGGAGACCGTGTACTTGAGCACATGACACGAAATCTGTTCATTGACACCTCAGTACAGAAAGGTTTCATGAAGAAAACCCCTGGTGGCCTAGAACACACTCAAGCCCTCCTTGAAGAGATTAAAGATGCTAAAAGCCACAGAAGACAAGTCCACGTGATCTGGATTGACCTTATGAATGCGTATGGGAGAGTCCCGCACAGCCTTATTATTTATGCCCTACGCCGGTACCACCTACCTGAAAGCTTCATTAAGCTTATAATAGAGTATTATGGAAGCCTCAGTGTCCTAGTTAAGTGCAGGAAATGGACATCCAGAACATTCTGGTATGAGCTAGGCCTGTTCCAGGGAGACCCACTGTCCGTGATCCTGTTCCTTATAGTATTCAACATCCTACTGGAACTTCTAGCTGTACTGTGCAGTCAAGTTGGGTATGAGCCAAGCTTCAGTGATAGCAAGACCTCAAAGAAAGCATTTGCTGATGACCTAACCCTGTTGTCGAAGAGCGAGAAGGAGATGAAGAAGATGTTGAAGGTAGTAGAAGAGTTCCTGGACTGGTCGAAGAAAATGAAGGCTAAACCATCGAAGTGCCTGTCTATGTCTATGAAGTGTACTGGAGGAAAGTACAATACCTATGATGCAGAGTTTGTACTAAGCGAACAACAGGTGCCGTCCATTATCCAAGCACCAATGAAGTTCCTAGGAATGTACATGTATGTAGATCTTGAGGTAAAGGAAATTCGGTCCATGATTAAGAAGAAGTTAGAGGACCTTTTGGAAACTACGTCTAATGATGAAATCACCGGTCCAATGAAGGCGTGGGTGTATAACAACCTCATCATTAGTAAGATGTCATGGGGGTTTACTGTCTATAACCTACCCATCACATTTGTGAGAGAGCTTGAGGCACTGTGTAACAGATACCTTAAGAAGTGGCTAGGGATTGCGCATCCTTGTACCACCACCGTCCTCTACAGGAGTAGAGACCAGAAAGGATTGCAGCTGAAAAACATCTGCACTGAGTACAAAGTCATTCAACTTATTAAGGGACACCAACTTTGTAACTCAAGTGACCCCTACATCAAAAAAGTGTACTCTAACCATAAGGCTATTGCAGACACACAGAAGATGTGGTCTTATCCCAAAGAGCTGAAAGACCGTCAGCGCCAACTTTACTTCCAAGAGTTAGTTGGAAAACCTGCAGTTGGTACAACTGGCCTCGGGTATGGGACAAGATATGAGGACACATCAGAGAGGAAACTGCTAACCAACATGGTGAGGACCTTTGATGAAGAGACACTTATTTGTTCACTTTTTGACAAAAAGCGGCAAAACCTCTTTCTCACATGGGAAAATACAATGACATTTGACACCACATGGAATAACTTGATCTATCAACTTAGTCCGGAACTGTTAAAGTTTCATGTCAATGCTATTCATGACACTGCGTCAACACCTAGCAACCTAAAGCTTTGGAATAAAGCCGTTTCAGGAAACTGTAAACTCTGCAGCAAACAAGGGACACTCAATCATATCCTGACGTTCTGCAAGGTTGCACTTAGACAGGGACGTTTCAACTGGCGCCATGATCAGGTCCTACGTGAAATCATGAAGACTGTTTCATCACAGATTGAAGAGTTTAATTCCGACATCGCCAAGGAATCGAAGAGGGCACCGTCGGTCTTTCACAAGGCAGGCAATAAGCGCGAGAAGGTTACCTTAGCTGACCCAACTCATCATAAGACCCAAAGATATTTCTTTTCAGATGCCAACGACTGGAAGATAATATTTGATGAGGATGAGAGACAGAGGAACTTCCCGCAGCACATTGCAGCTACACCACTAAGACCTGATGTAGTGATCTATTCAGATAAAGCAAAGAAGGTTTATCTAATGGAGCTGACTTGTGGAAATGAGCAGAACTTTGCTGATCAAGAGAAGCGAAAGATGAAGAGATATCAGCAGCTGACAGAAGAGATAGAAGCCAACGGATGGGCTTGCAAGCTCCAGACAGTAGAAGTGGGAGCTCGAGGCATTTACAACTATAGCCTCCCAACCTTTATGAACCACCTGAACGTAAACAACAAAGAGAAGAAGAAGGCCTGCATGAAGATCGCTGAGATCAGCCTGAGGGCATCGTATACCATCTATTTGTCCAGAAACAATACCATATGGACAGATGATTGGGAGTTAGTCAAGAGACCAGTAATAGCATAGTAGGAGCGTAGAATGTTTGGGCCCAGAAAAACATGTTTAATACCGCTATGAACCCGTCATAAGCCGGGGACTACTATGAAAGTGATGATGCTGTGTTGTTGAAAGACCTTCGACCAATCAAAGATGTACCTCATCACGCCAAGCAGTTATGCTTGTAGGTGAATATACACTTATAGAGTACAACAACTTTATAACACTCCCATAATATGTGAACAACCCCTAAATTAAAACTCTGATTCAACAGGATTATACATTTGCAGTGAAATTTATGCTAAATTTTCTTTTACCAATACTCCTGGTAAGTGTAATAAAAATATTCTCAGAGACACATTGTGCATCTACATCAATTATTTATTCACATTGAACCTAGTAAAGGGCTCAATTTTTTGGTGGTATCTTCTTTATAATGGGGTACAAGACGAATTTTTCAAGGATCTAGACAACTAGAGAAACCAATTCAGTTGTATCCGGTCTTGTTAGCAATTAGGATATTAGGAACAGCATTCCAGTATTTTAAGTAGGAGAGACATCAAAATAACTACACTGTGCTGTTAAGTTGCCTATACCAGTAGGATACAAATACTGATCCTTGAAGTTAACATGTACACCCTTCACACACATCTGAAAGGGGATTCAACTCAAAAAAGTGTCTCGACAGGGATGATCATTGATCCTGGCTCCCTTAATCCACCAATAAGCCAGTACTACTTTACTGTCAGAGGAACCCAATGTGGCAAAAAAAGTAGGGCTTGTGAAGAATGAGCTGCCAAGTGCCAGGATAGCTCAATGGAAGAATGGTCAATGGCAGTATTTCCACGATCAACAAATTTAAACGAGACAAATTGACAAACGTATCTAAGCTAATAATAAGACAATACCTAAGTCTAGCAGGAAGACTAAAGGACAATACCCGAACTACACTACGTCTACAGAGAATAACTATGAAAGCTAAATTGTTTTTAGCACATAGGAGAAGAGTGGCAAATATAGGTATGCAACAAACAAACAGATCTGAGTAGTGAGTAATGGTCATATAAACCTTGTTATATGATACTTGTAAACTGTAAAACAGTGGACAATATTATATTGACCATTATTAATTGACGATGTCAATTCATGGCAGCTCGGCGCGGCACAGTAGCGCATCTCGCCGATCTAGCCTGTGAGAAGCCTTATTAAGTGCGCGGCGCGGCACAGTAACGCATCGCGCTACAATGACCATTATGGATCCAAAAAAACTCAAATCAAAATTAATGTATTTTTACATGGACCAATATTTATTTGCAAGTAAATTTCCATGGTTGAATTTTGCGTGCACCAATTTTCGAATGCGCGGCGTAGCGTGTGCAATTTTGAAATACAAATTTGTGTGATCTATAGTTGAAAAATAAAGTTATAATTTATACAAATTTTTCCAATTGGAAAAATTTGTTTTTGAATCTGTCAGTTTTGACACCCCAAAAAACCTTTATACCACCTGCCGGGCTCGCTAAAAGTGCAGTGATCGATTTTCAACGGCGCGTTTGTCGGTCTCGCTTGTCATACGTTGTATGACCCGCCGCGCACGAAGTGCGCGGCTCCCCCTGTATCGTCAGGACGATAGTGAAACGACCGTGGGGGTCGCAACGTGATACAAAGTCTCGCACATCACATCAAGTTCACCTTTTGCTTACCACTTACTGGGCCGCGCTCAGCCTGTCATTCCGCCAAATCTCTATTCTATGAACATAATAGCCTGAGGTCCCCAGGTAATGCATTACCTGGGGACCCCAGGCTATTATGTTCATAAAGATTTGGCGGAATGACAGCTGCTGAGCGCGGCCCAGTAAATAATGCATCGCGCTACAATACATGACATTATATTATATTACCTCTACTTTACTCACTTTTAACAGTAACACCGCTTTTTATATAATTAGCTAGAAGTAGAGAGTTGAAGGGAATCAGAGGGACAGACGGGTGGTATAAATAAATCTTAAATGGGATGTTCTGATCTGGTGATGTTGCATGTTGGCATCGTCAATCATTCCCAGAAAAACTTACGGCAGTAACGCGCACACAGCACAGGGACTGGCGCACGTGCCCGGTAAAGACGACTGCAGACTGGGGACCCCTCTGAAAATTCAAATGTAGAGTCAAGAGCGATCGAGCACGTTCGGATTACCTCGGAATAAAATTTAATTTAATTTCACACTTTTCTTCTAAAGAATCATTTTTTTATTGAAAAACTACCTCTACCATCACCAATCATCGTAACCTTCATCCTATTATTTAATGTTAATAATACTAGAGGTTATACTTATCAGACAATGAAAACGAGCAATGTAACAGAAAGCAAAGTATAAATTCATCAAACATATCACATAAAATAACATATTAATATCTTATTTAATGTCGTAAATTAGTTTTCTAAAATAAACTTAATTTTAAGGCTATCGCGATTAATAAAAAACAGGAGGCGATCTTTTAAAAATATTCAGCAGACAAATTAAAACATAATTGCACAATTTATAATGCAAAATTGTAAAATGTACTGCTTTATCATATCAAGTACGTAACGATATTATGGCCGATGACTTCAAATGTTTACCAGAACATAGAATACATATTATTGCGTTAGAATTCCAATTCCAAACATTAAATTTCTATCTGATGCGAGATTATCCTGGAAATCAGCTCATAAATGAACTCAAACCATAACGTAAAGACATTGGCATTAAATTAACATATTCATCGCAAAATCTATCTTAATGAACATGCATGACATCAACTTGGTTAAAACATTATATTTGATTTCAGGAAAGATTAAAGTTCATGCTACTTACTATTATATTGTCATGCAGGTTAACGGAAAATCTCAAAATAACGATACTAAAACATTAATTTGATTTTTGTAGATACTATTTATAGATTGCCATTGTCAGTTATGAATTTTTATAATTTCAAAAATACTTCAAATGATGGGGATTAATGTGCAGCTTTAGTCCATCCACGAAAATTCTAACAAATCACTCATTTCTTCAAAGTTTATCATCTTTATCTAAAGCTTCAGGCGCTATATCTTTAAATTGACAAACATCACGACATTCTTCGCGGGTATTATTAGCTCAACTGCTCGCGTTGGCATAAAATAAAATGTTGAAAATTCTAAAATACAATTGATGAGCTATACTAGAAGTTGGATGATATAATCTCTAAATTGAGTAATGGTGTTACTGCTTCTGCATAGCGGCCAGCATATTTTGTTGCTTGGTCAACTGTTCGACCATTCTCTGCATTCTCTTCAACTGAAATAGGGAGGACGTTTAGTTTCAATAAAGAAATGAATATCCCAGTGGAATATTAACTCGAATATTAACTAGAATATTAACTAGAATATTAACTCGAATATTAACTAGAATATTAACTAGAATATTAACTAGAATATTAACTAGAATATTAACTAGAATATTAACTATAATATTAACTATAATATTAACTATAATATTAACTAGAATATTAACTAGAATATTAACTAGAATATTAACTAGAATATTAACTACTATGAACGTTGAACAACCACTGTCTTTATCTAAGTTGGTATATTATAAAATAACCTTCAGTGGGACGAATTTATGTGAGAATTCAAAAATGCGAATTTCAAAAAGTTAGATTCTTTCATAAACAGACTTCATGGAACTTGATTGAAGATATATAAATTCCTCGCAGCTTGTAGCTGAGGAGGAGCGCGGGCGGTGCATGGGGTGGTATTTATTATTTAACCTCCACGATCCCCTCTCGCACAGACACGAAAGCCAACCCAAAATAACACGTACCTCTTCATCCTTCTCACGGATTATCTTGTCAGTTTCGTCAACAACCTTGGGGCCTGTGCTCTCGTTTATACTGGTGTTCGTACTGGGAGTCGTACTGGAGTTAAACATTGATCAACCGTTATTTACTGAGCAGCGGTTTAATAGAACACGTGACATGACGTCACACCACGTGACATTACGTCACACCACTTGACATGACGTCACACCACTTGACATGACGTTACACCACGTGACATGACGTTACACCGCACTTATTCAAACAGATCATCTTCTGATTAAGACGTGTAGTGTTATTGAGGATCATTTGATGGTTCTTTCAAGAAAATTTCTGATTAGAATTTATATATTTATCTTCATTAGAAAAATGTCATCGCTGAGTCTATTCAGAAACAAAATCAGGCATTTTCTTGAAAGATCATCTTCAATTGACACTGGTGTCACTTTGATTGAGTGGATGAAAGATGAAATAAATCAGACAAAAATTCAGACAGAAAATCAAATTCCTACGTAAGATTAAGAGTGGTAAAGTATGGTGAGTGTATAGTGAAGTTGTGTGCTGCAGCTGGATTTTTTTGCAGTATTGATCCCTCGAGATCGCTGGGGAGAAATTGTAGTGAGGTAAGGAACTACAATCAGTATTCATGTCAAACAACAAATTAAAGGACATGGTTTTCAAGATTGTTTGTTTGGATATCTTCTGATATCCAATTAATTATGTTCGTGGAATACTAGTAGGTGATTTGACTGTGAATCTAAAAAGATGCTTAGATCCTAAAGACAAGTATTACACACATTGCGATATCATGATTTGTCACGTCACTCCGGCGAGTACTAATCTGTTATATAATCAAATCAGATTCACATGGCAAAAGAATGAGCGCTTCAAACAACACACAGCAGAAAACAATGAGCCCATATCACTATCATAAGAACCTATAACACCACGTGACATGACGTCACACCACGTGACATGACGTCACACCACGTGACATGACGTCACACCACGTGACATGACGTCACACCACGTGACATGGCGTGACAATCAGTCCATATCACTATCATAAGAACCTATAACTGAGCTTTTGAGATCGGAAGTTTTCGTAATGAACGTCACGTGTGACCTCCTTTAAGTCTTGCATGTGAGTCCTTATCAGCATGTTCCTCAACTTGCCAAAGTCTGAGTGCTCTGGGTTCTCAACTGAGAGAGAGAGAGAGAGGTTGAGGGTGACGTCACACCACGTGACATGACGTCACACCACGTGAGGGTGGGGTTAGGGGGTGTACAGAAAGTTAGAATGATCTGCCTTTGAAAACAATTCGTTATTTCTGTGGATTTTTTACGGAGGTTTACGATTTTAAATTTCTCTCAGATAAAAAGGAATGCAAATTTATGAAGAAAGAAAGATAAGAAATAATAGAAAGATAAGAAATAATGGGGACCAACCTTCGACAACTCCCCAGGGGTACTGTCTACCTATGACTCGGTTACCCTCTTTAACAATAAACGTGTTACTCCCAATAACTGCGAATGGCAGACTTTCCTGAAGAAAAAAAAGTTGAATGAATATTTTAGATAAACTTTTTAATTTTTTAATTTTTAAAACTTTTTTTAGCTATTTGAATTTCCATATTCTCTTTCAGATTGACTATTCATCGTTATAAAAAAGGCAAAAAAACATCGTATTTATGGTTATAAGCTTCTAAAGTAACTGCGAATAAAATACCTTGAGATCTTTGTTCATCTCAACAAAGTCCTCATCTTCATCGCTGTCACACTCTGGAAACTGATATATCCTAATACTGGCTTCTTCAATCTCTTCTAGGATCTGCAAGAAAAGGATTTAATTGTTGATATATCCTAATACTGGCTTCTTCAATCTCTTCTAGGATCTGCAAGAAAAGGATGGTGAAATGACGTTACACCACGTGACATGACGTCATTCCACGTGACATGACGTCACATGACATGACGTCACATCGCTGTCACACTCTGGAAACTGATATATCCTAATACTGGCTTCTTCAATCTCTTCTAGGATCTGCAAGAAAAGGATTTAACTGATATATCCTAATACTGGCTTCTTCAATCTCTTCTAGGATCTGCAAGAAAAGGATTTAAACTGATATATCCTAATACTGGCTTCTTCAATCTCTTCTAGGATCTGCAAGAAAAGGATTTAACTGATATATCCTAATACTGGCTTCTTCAATCTCTTCTAGGATCTGCAAGAAAAGGATTAAACTGATATATCCTAATACTGGCTTCTTCAATCTCTTCTAGGATCTGCAAGAAAAGGATTTAACTGATATATCCTAATACTGGCTTCTTCAATCTCTTCTAGGATCTGCAAGAAAAGGATTTAACTGATATATCCTAATACTGGCTTCTTCAATCTCTTCTAGGATCTGCAAGAAAAGGATTTAATTGTTGAACAATTGTTGTATAAATTTGAATATTCAATTTTATTCTCATCGGCCATTATTAATTGAATTGATGCAGTTTTCTGTAAACTGTAAAGTACAGATTAGTTAAAGCATTTGGCGTACAAAATTTTGTAGAACCTTATCTAAGTATCTCAGGTGAATAAGGCCAAATAAAAGTTTGGCGTTTGAAGTAGAACTGGGACTTCCGGTCTGGATTGGCTGACGGAAGAGTTTCGCACTCGATTTAAAATACTCACTCTGGCTTTCAGACTTCGAATTTCAGTTTTGGTGAGGGTATCAGCTTTAGCAATGACGGGAACGATGTTAACTTTATCGTGGAGTGACCTCATAAACTTGATGTCGATTGGTTTCAACCTGAAAAAGTTCAATTGAATTAACTAACCTAGATACACTGACAATACCATAATATTATCACAAATCACCATTTGGTAAATCTGCGATCGCGCAGTTCAAAATTTAGAATTTAGAATCTTCACGATAGGTTGGGATCGGGCTGTAATTTGAGACTCCATCGTGCAAGGCGATGTAATAGAAATTGATTCGTAATCGTTAAACAATTTACACGCGTTCGTTATCATCAACTCGGTCAACGTAAAGAATGGACCTAATTTCTACAAAAACAAGAAAAGTGAGCGTGTTCCTGCGCGACATGTCTTTTCGAAACATTACCGCGCGTTCCAAAAACGACACAAAATTTGTGGCCAAAATTGGCACTTGGCGGGTTTAGCTCGCAAGACACCGGTCAAACGAGCGAATTTGACAAATGACAAGTAGAAACTTCTAGCAGCAATTTAAAATTCACTTTATGAAAAAGCTTACCCTCGACCGTAAGGACTAATAAAATACAAACAGCAATGAACTCTGTTATCAACGATGTTTCTTCTGTTAAGTCCACTTTCGTCTTGTAAATATGCTTCGTATTGATTTGCGACGTATTTAATGATAGATTCCTCGCTGAAATAAAAAATGTACGATGAGCTCATGAGCTATCGAAATTAGTAATCACTGTAGGTATTAGTGTTCACACACAATATTATAATTTCTGTAATTTAACTCCTTGATTGATTTAGGGAAGAGGAAACCCGAGTTCAACTGAACACTGAGCAGCTTTTTAATAGAGCACATGACATGACGTCATACCACGTGACATGACGTCATACCACGTGACAAGTTCAACAACTCACCACTTATCGTTGTTCAAAGCATCCCCAAAGCCCGGCGTATCTACAACAGTCAACCTCAACCTCACTCCCTTCTCCTCTATCTCAACACAGTTCGTCTCGATGGACACTGTCTTGTTAATGCGATCTGGGAATATGTCTGGTCTTATTTAGAACATTACTGAAATTGTCTGTTTCTTAACTGATTAACTGGACAAGTAACTTATGTACCTTTCATATTTCTATTCATAATGTTTAATCGTGATATTTTTAATTTAATATTTCACTCGGTATTTCGAATATGTTCTAAAACATCTGAACTGAAGCTTGGTGGATTTTTGTAAGATTCAGCCATATTTTATATTTAGGTCCACCCAAAATTGTCCATATACAGTGTCTAGTGTCTACTGTGTAAGTTACCTGGTAAAAAGTCAAACCAACCCGCTCTGCTTTGTGGAAATTAGGATTCAACTATCAAAAAGAATTGTTATCTAAAATAACGAGCAGTATTTACTTACATTAGGTATTTACAACACATGCCAAGTTAGTAAGTGACAATATCACGACAAGAACCAGAAAACGAGCAAACAGTGTACATCAGGGAAACCATGAAACTGTGGACTATGAGTTAGTGATACTACTATAACTACGTGTTAATTATATATAGGAGGGAACTAACTAACCGTTTATCAGGTATCACCAAGAATGGCCATGGGTTCTTCATGGACTGTTAGTAAAATAACTTTTTATAAAACAACTTTTTATAGACTATTTTCCTCCCAAAGTTAGTAGTATCTGATACGTTAGAGTTACTCTAACTTTAGAGTATCTGCACTGATACCAATTCTAAATAAAGCCATTAAAATGATTGGTCGTGTTTCACTGCCAGTAACTTTCCCGCCAAAATGCGCAAATCCTAATTTAAAGACGTAATATTTCCGCGTTGAGTTGAAACATTACTTACCAGTATCTGCCCTTACATTTTATACAAGTTTTCACTAAACATAAGACCGATAATTAGAGCGTTACAAAGTTCTTTATATCAAACGAGTAACGACAATATCACGTGGCATGACGTCATACCACGTGACATGACGTCATGACAATATTTCTGTCACCTGTTCCTCGAATTAACCAATCAACACACCTTTGCAAACCATAAGAGTTATCATAACTCAGCTGTAATATTTGACCCAACTACCTCTAAAACTACCTCTAAATCTTTATCACGTGTCAACGAATAGGTGTGACACGTGACAAGTATGTCACGTGACAGCAATAAACCAATCAGCTACCTCTGAAACGGTAATTCGTTGCAAGCTACCCGTCTGTACTATATCTATTATCTAATATTAGTGACATATAAAAACACCCATGATGTAATATACTGTATGTGATCTAATTTACATCTGATATTCGTTTTGAATTAGCTGAGACTATAAAAATACTGTCATAGCCCTATTTATCTAGCCCTATACCTAGATAGAGTACTAGACCGGGGTATATTGTATATTGTATAGTTGTGGAATCCTGGAGCACAGAGAGGAGACGTACTTTGGATAATGAATATTGCTTTGACTAGAAACAGGAACAAGTAGTTTGCTGGAGCACAGAGAGGAGACGTACTTTCGGTAATGAATATTGCTTTGACTAGAAACAGGAACAAGTAGTATGCTAGTTTACACAAAAACAATAAATAGATAAATAATAGACGTTGCTACTGGTGGGGAGGTGAGGCATATCTTTTACACGTGTAAGGGATTCTGCACTGGGTGTTGTTTGGTCAATAGTGGAAGCTGATTGGTTAATATCTGTCACGTGTCATATTGTATTGTAACAATTTATGTCGTTTATGCAACATATCAACAGCGCAGATTACATGCTATAGTAGATTTTTGTGTGTAACTGTGTAATACCTTGGACTTTGGTTTGTACCCAAACAGAGGTGACCAATGGCAATAGGAACATACCCACATCCAGAATGTTTTAAATTTCCTTCCAATTTTTCTTTCCTAAAAAAGGTCAGGTCTTCTAAAAATGTCCCCTTTAGCACAAAATTTCTCTCAAACCCAAAAATTTCCTCCCAGTCAGACTGCCCTTTTTCTGTATGAGAAAACATATTTAATTTGTTTGAATTACCCGGTGAACGATTTACAGCGTTTAAAAAGCAACCCTTAGTCTCCCGAGTAACCTGAATTATAATAAAAAATGTGCCACTATTATTATAGACGGTATATTAGAGGACTATTAGATAAGCTATTTTACAGGCTGGTTCAAAGTGTTGATAAATTACAGCAGATGGTCTAACTGTTGACCATTAAGCTGCTATTATTATAACATGTTATATTACTCTGTATTACTATATGTTCTATTACTCTGTATTATGCTGTATTACTATATGTTATATTACTCTGTATTATGCTGTATTACTATATGTTATATTACTCTGTATTATGCTGTATTACTATATGTTATATTACTCTGTATTATGCTGTATTACTATATGTTATATTAATCTGTATTATGCTGTATTACTATATGTTCTATTAATCTGTATTATGCTGTATTACTAATGTTATATTACTCTGTATTATGCTGTATTACTATTATAACATGTTATATTACTCTGTATTATGCTGTATTACTATTATAACATGTTATATTACTCTGTATTATGCTGTATTACTATATTATGTTATATTACTCTGTATTATGCTGTATTACTATATTATGTTATATTACTCTGTATTATGCTGTATTACTATATTATGTTATATTAATCTGTATTATGCTGTATTACTATATTATGTTATATTACTCTGTATTATGCTGTATTACTATATTATGTTATATTACTCTGTATTATGCTGTATTACTATATTATGTTATATTAATCTGTATTATGCTGTATTACTATATGTTATATTAATCTGTATTATGCTGTATTACTATAACATGTTATATTAATCTGTATTATGCTGTATTACTATAACATGTTATATTACTCTGTATTATGCTGTATTAATATATGTTATATTACTCTGTATTATGCTGTATTAATATATGTTATATTACTCTGTATTATGCTGTATTAATATATGTTATATTACTCTGTATTATGCTGTATTACTATATTATGTTATATTAATCTGTATTATGCTGTATTACTATATTATGTTATATTACTCTGTATTATGCTGTATTAATATATGTTATATTACTCTGTATTATGCTGTATTAATATATGTTATACTACTCTGTATTATGCTGTATTACTATATTATGTTATATTACTCTGTATTATGCTGTATTACTATATTATGTTATATTACTCTGTATTATGCTGTATTACTATATTATGTTATATTAATCTGTATTATGCTGTATTACTATATTATGTTATATTACTCTGTATTATGCTGTATTACTATATTATGTTATATTACTCTGTATTATGCTGTATTACTATATTATGTTATATTAATCTGTATTATGCTGTATTACTATATTATGTTATATTACTCTGTATTATGCTGTATTACTATATTATGTTATATTACTCTGTATTATGCTGTATTACTATATGTTATACTACTCTGCTGTGAGGTGTACTAAATCTCTTTTTCAGGTGCGCGTGCAAGTTTTGACAGGCATAAAGTCATTATTTTCGGAGTACAGTGCTGGAGTTTTTAAAAGTTGAGTTAGAGAATTCTATCATGTTCTAATTTAGGAAATATGTATTTAGTAAAGTACATGACACGTGGTACGTGACACCAGACGAGGCACCTGACAGAAATATGTGCAGTGGCAGGTAGTATAACTTTTTAGAAAAACGTTCGAGGCAACGTGTTAAACGTTATGTCTTTATGTAGTGCCCTGTCACAGCACACGTCACGCTCAGTGTTATATCTTTATATGACTGAACTGTGCTCCAGGACACTATTGTTAGCATCTACTAAGAACGTTACTTTGATTTTTAAGAAAAACGAGGCTAACAATTAGCGCAGATATCCGTTAATAACTTAATAAAAGAGAGCTAAATATTAACTGCTTGTTTGTAGTTGTCAGCTAATAGTATAAAAAGGAGACGTAACTTCATTAAAGAAAGAAATACGAAAGTGAAATACGAAAGTGAAATACGAAAGTGAAATACGAGGAACTAACCTTTAGCGCTGTTAGGAGCTCTTTTAGCGTAGAGGTCCGTTAGGAACAAAGAGTTAACTAGGGTGCTCTTACCGAGACCACTCTCACCTGGGAAATATTGAGTTAATTGACTGATTATTTAATTGACTGATTAGTTAATTACCTGATTAGTTAATTGACTGATTAGTTAATTGACTGATTAGTTAACTGGCTAATATATATTGGTGTACCTTCATTATATTGACTTATTGACATTGTGTTATTCGATGAAGTGTTTTCTGGCATTATAATAATTGAATTTTTTAATGGTCCGCTTTTCAAGAATCTTTTACAATTCATAAGGTTTTATTTCTAATTTTAGCTCGATAACAAGGCTAAGAATTTGCCTAAATCCATCTGTATTTCAGAGCTAAACGATCGTGAGGGAAATATTCTACGTAACTACACAGAATAATTACATAATTAGGGTAATTAAGCACTTATGCTAATCGCATACCACATGTTCGCCACACAATATTAACATTATCCTGCACACTGAAATCTCTACTAGCACATACACACAGAGAGACACAAATCATCAGATGTAACTGTAAGCTCAGCCCCCGCTTACATATTATAGGGGGATTATACTCTACCATAATACATAAACAGGCCGTCAATGATGACGTCACGTCACGTGACATGACGTCACACCACGTGAAATGACGTCACACCACGTGACATGACGTCACGTGATACACCAAATTACATAATCAGACCGATGAAACATGGCACGGTGACACACAACAACACATCAATAATCAATGTGTTATCACGGGGGGAGTGGAAACCTTACAGAGAGCCCTGTTTACTAGCTCTCCTCTTTAAAGAGACTGTACATGACTGTGTACATGTGACTAGTGTGTACTGTGTATAGTTGGAGGAGGAGATGTATAGTGACTGTGTACATGTGACTAGTGTGTACTGTGTATAGTTGGAGGAGGAGATGTATAGTGTATGGTTCTTAGCTGGTTTTATGGCTTTTATTATGGGCCTTTTTTTGTGGTTTTATTGGGTGGAAAAAAGGAGTCTATGGAAAAAAGGAGTCTATGGAAAAAAGGAGGTGGTCATGACCTGCTAATTCTTACCTTAAAGTTGATGTGGGACCAGGATATAGGGTGGAAAGAATTGTAGAATTATGTTTTAAATTAAGTTTTAAAATTCCACTTACCAACAACCATAAGAGTAAACTCGAATCCCTTTTTCACACTTTTTCTGTGTACCTAAATACAAATTGCTCATCAGAACAGGCTTTTCCAAAAATAATTTCGCTAATTACTTAATTATTGTTGAGCTTTTCATGATAACAATTAAGAATTAAGAAGTTATCGCCAGAAGTGTTAAAATACTCGCACTCAAATAAGCAAAACCTATTTAAAACTTAACTCAAATAAAACAATAAAGTTAGCTGAATATTACCTGGTTTGGAAGATCAGCGAACCCGACATATCCCCCAGTTCTTACACGACCTCTCCCTTCTTTACCCTCTGACATACTAGCTAATCAGTTTAGTGGTTAATTGAGTAATTAGTTAAGTAATTAGTTATTGATCGGGTGATCAGTCAAAAAGATAAATCTTATGATTTGAAAAGAGTCCGCAATAATCAGGAACCAGATGATTTAAAACGAGATTATTGACAAAATCCTGACAGTTCAATTTTGTAGGACCAATTAAAATAAGATTTTCGTAGCAAGACTTTTAAACACAAATTTTGATGAAAAGGTTGGTAATAAATTAGTTTGACGGAACCAAAGTTCAGACCTGGAAAAAAACATCACAAAACTTAATCTGACATAGCAACAGAAACATCAAATATGAGTCACGGTATCACTATACAGTACACTGTAAATGAGACTATCACAACATTAGGTGCATGATTATAAATTTCATAATTATATTCACATAAATTTATAATTAAATTCAGTGCTTTTAATCATGACGGAGAGGGTTTAGTTGAGGTCGCATTTAGATAGTTTACTAGTGACTACCGACTAGAACAGACTAAAGACCCTAAGTTTACTGTGATCACAGATGTGTTGTTAGTCCGTACGTCACCGGTCACGTGAACCGTCATGTTTCACAGATCTGTGGTAAATTGAGATTCAACACAGAATCTACAAAGCTACGCCACAAGATGTTTACAATTTTGGTTTTTTTAATTAAGGGTCACCCAGAGTTGTTTCTCTCTGAAAGGCCGATCAAAAAATATAAAATGGGTCGTACAAAAATGCATGGAATGATCATGAATATGAAACTTTCCCATGTAAGTTGGTTCATGATTTCTCCAAGTCTTGACTTTCTGAATCTTCCTCCTCCACGGCACTCTTCTCTTCTAATTCAGGTTCTTGTTCTTCGAGTGTTGCAGCCACAATAATGGAATTATTGGCAGAAAAGTCAGCTTTAGGGAAATCCGGTTCCGAGCTGACATATGAAGCTACAGGCATAAACCCAACTATTAAAAATTTTTTAAAAAAAAAAAAAAAAATTTTTTAAAATAAAAGTACCCCAAAAATAAAAAAACAGTTTTAAAATTTTTCCCCCCTAAACAAAAGTTTTATCAGAAAGGAACGGGGAAAAAAAAGGGAAAGAACCCAAAATAGTAAAAAAGATTCTTATGTTAAAAAAATTTTGGGGGGCCCAAAAATATTTTTAAAAAAATCCAAAAATTATTTTGAAAACAATAAATAAATTTTTAAAAAACAAATTTAAAAGTCAAAGGTTTTTAAAAAGCCCAAAATTTAAGAAAAAAAAAATCAATAAATTTACCGAAAAGAAAAAATTGGGGCCCAAAAAAACCTAAAAAGAATTCATTTAAAATTTATAAAAAAAAAGAAATAAATTATAATTAATTAATAAAAAAATTTAATAAAAACCTTTTTGGGGGGGTTTAATCAAATTTTTTTCACAAAAAACTTTAGCCTTGGGAAAATCCGGGGTGGGGCCAAAAATTTAAAAAGAGGGGAAAATTTTGGTGGAAAAAAATTTTTTGGGGTTTTTCCCCCAAAAAACAAGGAAAATTAAGGTCCCAAAATTTTTTCCTCGATTTAAAAATAAAGGAAAAAATTTTGGTTGGTTCAAAAAATTTTCCTGAAAAATTTTAAACCCCGCCCGTTTCCGTTTCTCCAAAAACAGGTTTTTCGGGGAAGCTAATGGAAAAAAATTCATTTGGGTTTTTTCCGGAAATTGGAGTATTCGTCTACAAAAAGAAAATCCAATGGTAAATTAAATGGAAACCCAAAACCCCCTTTCTTTTAAAATTTTTCCCAATTTTAATCCTTTTTTTTTCCCCCCCGGGAAAAGTTGGCCCTTCGGGGGCAACCGTGAATTTCGCCCCCCCCAACCACATAAAACCCCTTAAAAAAAAAAAAAACCAAAATTTTTAAAAAAAATAGAGCACCAAATATACCAATAAAATTCCCCTTAATATAAAAATTGCACAAAAAAAAAGGGGGGGCCAAACCCCCGGGGCACCCAGTGTGAAAAAAATTACAAAAGGTTTAAAAAGAAACCCAAAAGGTAAAACCGGGTAAATTGTGCCGGCCCATAAAAAGGCGGGGTTTCCCAAAAAATTTTTAAAAAAAATGCACCTTTAGAGAGCCCTTTTTTTAACTAAATTTAAAAAAAATAGTTTCCAAAAAGGGCATTATGTTTAAAAGGGAAAAGTACCCCAAATTGGGAATGGTTTTTGGAGGGCGGTTTCTTTTTTTTTGGGAAAAAATTTTGGGGTGGGAAAATAGGCAAAAGAAAAATTTCGAAGGGGAAAAACCCACTGAAAAAGGGAATTTTGTAAAACCCCAAAAATTAAAATTTACACAATTCCTCGTTTCTAAAGCCCACCCAACAAAAATAATTTTCTTTTACCAAAAATACAACGGGGAAAACTTAAAATTTTTTTTAAAATTTTAATTTAAACTTTTTTTTTTTTTGGGAAAAAAACCCCAGGAACATGGGGCCTTTAAGGGTTTAAATTCTGTAAATGCCTCCAGAACGGGCCCAAAAAAGGGCCCAAATTTGAAATTTTTTAAATATTTTTTAAAAACGGGTGGGGTTTTTTTCCAATGAAAAAAAAAATTTTTAAAATCCGGGGGAAATATTAACTAGACCACACGGAAAAAAAACATTAGTAAAATTTTGGAAACCGTAAAAACAAATATGCCCCCAAAAAAATTTTTTAAAAAAACAATTTAATTTGGTAAATTTCTGGAATAAAAAAATTTAAAAAATATATAAACAAAACAAAAAAAATTTTTAATTAAAAAAAAAATTAAAAGGGTTCACCCCTACTGGCCAAAAAACCCAAAAATTTTTTTAAATTTTTTACAATTTGGGGCATTTGGTGGAATCCCCAGAACAGAAGGGGGAAAAAATTTTTTTTAAAAAAAAAAAATTGCAAAAAGGGAAGAAAAATTTTTTAAAAAGGGAAAAAAAAAACCCTAAAAAGGGAAAAATACCTACAAAAAAATTTAAAACCCCTTTTATTCATAAACAATAAGCAAAGTTTTCAAAATTTCTAAACCCCCCAAATTTTTTTTTTCCCCGAATGGGGTTTTTGTGGGGAAGAAAAAACCCAAAAAATTTGGGCCATTTTTTGGAAAAACCCTTTTTTTTTCAAAAATTTCCCTTTTTTTAAAAAATTTTATACAAAAAGCCTGAAAAAAACCAAAGGTTTTAAAAAAAAAAAAAAATTTTTCCCCCTTTTCATTTTTTTGGGGGCCCTTTTTGGACATTTTTTTTTTTTTAAATATTTTTTCACGTCTTTTTTTTCGGGGTTTTGGGATTACCCACCAATATTTTTTAAATTGGGGTGTAAAATTAAAAAGTACCCCAAAAAAAAAAAAATTAGTTTCCCTTCTGTGGGGTTTTTTTTTTTGGAAAATTTTTTCCGCCTTTTTTTTTTAAAAAAAAAGGTTAAATTTTAACCCCCAAAAAATAGGGGTTAATTTGGGTTTTTAATAAAAAGGGGTAAAAGGGGTTTTTTGGGTTTTTGGAGATTCCTTTTTTTTGGCCACTGGGAAAACCCCTTTAAAATTTTTTTGGATTAATTTTTTTTTTATTTTTGTACTATTTTTTGAATTTTAAACCGAAAAAAATTTTTGTTTTAATTTTTGAAGGTTAGGGGGGGTGGGGAATTTTTATTTTTTTTTTAAATTTTTTTTTGGAATGGATTATTTGTATTTGAACTTTTAAATTTTTTTGTTTTAATTTGTAATTCTTTTTTATTGAATTTAAAAAGGAAATCAAATTCCATAAATTTAAGGGGGTCCTTAAACCTAGGATACAAATAAAAAATTTTTAATTTTTATGAAAAAAACATAAAAATAGGGGCCCTTTTTATTTAATTTAACAAAAATTAGGGGTTTTTAAATCATTCAAAACTTTTTAAATTGACAAAACAAAATAAAACAAAATTTAAAATTTTTTAAATTTTTAAACAAAAACCCCAACAAAACACCGTTAAAAACAAAATCCCCTAGACAAAATGGAAACCAAAAATTTTCAATTCAAATAACCCCTTTTAAAACCCAATTGGATATTTCTACCCCAAAAAAAAATTTTTCCTTTTTTTTATGATTCCTCTGGAAAAGAATTGTCCCAAATTTCCCCCCCCTTTTCCCCCCCCCTCTCCCCCGAACAGTCAAAAAAACCTCCCCCCCTTTTCCCCATACCACCGGGAGATTATACTTGTTAGATATTTTGAAAATTAAAATTAAAAAATTTTAAAATTTTTAAAAAAATTGGATAAGTTTAAAGGGAATTTTAACGTTTTATAAACACAAACTCCGGCATGGCAGGGATTACTTTTCAATTTTTCCCCGACGCGGGGAAAATTAAAATAATTTAATGCGAGCCCCAGGGATTAAAAAAAAAACCCCGGGGCTTTAGCAGGGGGGTTTTTTAAAAAACCCGAGCGGCCGGCGTTTTGTGTTATAAACACCTCCGGGGGGGGGTTTTAACCTGAACTAATTTCGGGAAAAAATTTTTTTTTTCTACTAATGAGATCAGTATAAATATTATGGAAAAAAATGAAAAGGGAATTGGACGTATATTTCACTAATAAATAAAACTAAGTACAGACATTTTAAAATTTAGTTTTATTTAAAAATTTTTAAAACATTAACCCGTCAGAACGTACAAGGTAAGGGCCGCGCGAAAAAATAAAAATGGAAAAAGCGATAAAAGGTGGAGTTGATATCGTGTCATGATGTTCATCAAAGTATACGACTATAATATTATATGGCTCATATCAAACAGTGCAATTGCTACGACAAAATTTACCGGGCAAATGTAACCGTCGAGACAAGTTCTGGAACTGGTCCAAGTAATGTAAGTGTCCAAACATTACTTGTAATAATATAAGCAGTATGCTGGAGTTTTGCCAGCGCCTGCAATAAAACCGATATGTAGATCAAGTGTATTAATAGTTCTTACGTCAAGTCATAGGTCGCGTGACATGTTTTACCAATGCACGTCGTAGTAGTTAGTCACGTGATACAACCGTGATACAACCCGTGATATTATTAAGCGTTATTTATTAAGCGTTATTTATTAAGCGTTATTTATTAAGCGTTATTTATTAAGCGTTATTTATTAAGCGTTATTTATTAAGCGGGAAAAAACTAACAGCCGGGATTATCAGAATCTATCCGCCCGGCCGGCTGATTATAACCCGGAGGTGTTTATAATTGAAGTACACATAATATAAATTTGGTGCTTCTGGTGTGTAACATGATGTATACTTTGATAAACAAGCTCTTTAGCGTATTTTTAGTTATTTGACCTTAGGAGCAACAGATAAGCCAGAGGTAGCAAATTTAAATGATTTGACAATATTTTGTTATTTTATGAACCTCCCTGTGGAGCTCTCTACTGGACAAGGCGTCATGTATTGGTATGTGTGTAGATAATTTACACATTGTTATACATTTAATATTGAGAATACATTTAACAATTGAGAGTTTGATAATTCAAAATATGTATGTTATATAATGGGTATTCTGGTGTGTAACATATCACAACATGATGACGTATACTTTAATAAACAAGCTATTTAGCGTGGTACCGTATAGAAGGAAAATGTACAGTATAATTGTGTGGTGTCAGGAGAAGCATATTCTCATATATTTGTTCATAAAATCTGAACTGATAAAAAAGTCCATAATCTCGGTTTTTCAACACTAAGTCTCGCTTGAATGACTTAAATGTACATCTTTGTTGGGTATATTTTAATGTCGAAGTGTGTATTAAATGTTAGAATTTATTTATTTATTCATATTTTATGGTTTAAATACACGTGTCATCATCATAGTTCTCGGTGTGAAATTGTATATTTCTAACTTTACAAACTTCATGGCTGTTGATTATTACTGCTAATCTCAAAGCTATAATTAGACACCATAACTTAACCAATTAAAAAGTAATTAATTAATTAAAAATGTTGCAATAAAAACGTAACCTAGTATTGTTTATAGCTTTATAGGGTGTTCACGAAACATTGGTACGGTTTTAAACATCTGTAAATTAATTTACGAAAGAGCAACAAGCTATATTTAGCTATTTAGCTCTTATCTTCTTTGTAAAACTATTGTATAAACCCACCTAAACATTAAACAAGGGCAGTCCCAGTTTATCTCACCACTCTCCGACACAGCCCCCGGAACACTACAACACCACGCGACGTGACGTCACAACACCACGTGACGTCACAACACCACGTGACGTCACAACACCACGTGACGTCACAACACCACGTGACGTCACAACACCACGTGACGTCACAACACCACGTGACACAGACAATTACCCACCTAAACACGGACAGTCCCAGTTAATCTCGCCACTCTCCGACACAGCCCCCGGATACTGTTCCTGTACCTCCTCACTCACAGCCTGTCCACTTTGTGCACTCTGCTCGCTTGGCGGCACGTCGGCGGCATCGTCGGCATCCTCCTCGCGTGCAGCTGCGATTTCCTCGTGCAGTGCTGTGACCTCCTCGCGCGAGGCTGCATATTCTTTAGGTCTGATTCTGTTATGAAGTGAACCTCGTCCTTACCTTCGATGTAGCTGTACGACATCGCAACCTACTTTACTGGGTTATTAATTAAAGTGAAATTAAATTAATTAAATTTGAATTAAAGTGAAAGTACGTTTTATCATTATTAAGTTATCAGGACACTTATTTTATAAGGATTTGACTGAAGAAGCTGATATAAAAACAGATTTATTTAACGTTAACAAATTCTGTAATTCAAGAAACACGGTGTCTTTTACCAGCTCACAGTTTTGAGTTAAAAACTTAAATTACGCAAATCACAAATGAAGACAATAAGGAAGCTGAGTTTATCTATAAGTTACAAAATAAATCAGATACAAGGGCAAAAACACTGTCTAAAACATCACAAGACCTTTCGTAAACTAACACTTAAACATTAAACTCTCATAATAACTTTCAACTGTTGTACATTGTACAATGTATACCATAGCACTGATACTACAATCTGTACACTGCTATTAACACCACTGTAACAGTAACACTACTGTAACACCACTGTAACACTACTGCAACACTACTGTAAGTGTAAACAATGTAACCTTCATAACAAAAAGTAAGTCTGAAACAATAATATATACATAATTTTAAGGTCATACCGTATTCGGATTTAATCTAATCGGCTTCGAACTCATGCAATAAATGTTAGTGAAGACTTATGTTAGAATTTAATATAAAGCTTAAACACACTTCAAAATAGAAACACACTTCAAATTTAATTTATGTCAAACAAAATTTACATAAAATAACAGCTACACATAATACATTTCTATAAGTTTTAAACAACTTCTTAATTCTTAACAGTTGCTTTCTGAGCGCCATTTGAAACAAATCGGATCCTAACTAAAACCCCACAGCAATAAATTTAAAACAATACCTTAGTCACAGTAACCACGTCAAAACCCCGCACATAAACCCCCTGCAATACCCCCTTGTCCAGGGAACCAGTGAAAAACCCCCTAGCAGTCCCCGTAATCCACCTTAGTCCCGAACCAGGGGTACCCCTAGTATTTTAACCGTGGAAAACCACCTTAGTCCGTAACACTGAAAACCCCTTGTCAAGTAACAGTGATAACCCCCATCACGGCCAGGGGAATACCCCCCTTTTGTCCAGTAACCCGGCAAACCCCCCTAGTCCAGTACCTGCCCAAAAAACTGTCAGTTAAACTAATCCACCTTAGTCACCAGTAACCCACGGCAAAACCCCCCGTACAGTAAAAAAGGAAAACCACCTGTCCCCGTAACCACGGAATTTCCACCTGGCACAGTAAACCGGCAATCCCTGGCCAGCCCCGGGGAATACCACCTTTCCAGTAAGTTAATACCCCTTGGGAAGTAACCACGTGAATACCCCCTTAGTCACGTAAAACCAAAATCAATACCCCCTTCCATAAACGTGGGAAAAACCCCTTATCCCCCTTAAAAGAAACCCCGTGAATCCCACCTTATACCCCGTCCTCAATCCCCTTAGTCAAGTAACCACGTGCAATACCATTTTTTAAATTAACCAGTGAATCCCCCAGTCAAGAAATGGAATACCCTTAGTTTAAAAAGTACCAGGCAATACCCCCAAACTTTTTCCTTCCCCTATAAATAAAAAAACGGGGGAAAATTTTTCTTAAATTAAAGGACCATACGTTTTATTTGGGGTTTGAACCCGGGGTTTTAGAGTCCCAAAAAAAGGGGGCGGGAAATTCTTTTTTAAAAAATTAATTTTTAAAAAATGCCCCCAAATTTTTCGAAAATTTTCATGAATTTGGTCAAAGGGGCCAGGTCTTTGGGGAGAAAAAACCATCGAGTTAAGGGGGGGGGGGGGGGGGGGGGGGGGGGGGGGGGGGGGGGGGGGGGGGGGGGGGGGGGGGGGGTTTTTGGGGGGGGGGGGGGGGGGGGGGGGGTTTTTAATCATATTTTGTCCCTTTTAGTAAAGTAAATTTTTTAATTTTCGTTATGTTTATCAAAAGTTTGTTTGGTCGATTACCAGAAAGTTTAGGGAAAAAAGTTATGGGGTTTTTAGGTTGGGGTTTGGAACCGGGTATTTTAAAAGAAAAATTTTTAAATAAACGCGAGGGTATAGTGTTAAAATCGTTTAGACCTTTTTTATGAACAGGAAAATTTATTTCCAAACTGGAATTAAATTTTTTTAAAAACTTAAAAGGAAGCGGGTTGGCTCAAAAAGTATTTACCCTTTTTCCTGGATATGGCGGCCCCTTTCCTTTATTGGGTAATATTTTAATAAAAATTTGATTTTCGTGTAATACCAAAAAAAATACGAAAACGATGGTTAAGTACCCAGGCTCCGGTTCTTACTCCTCGTTTTTCTAGATGCCAGAGTAACAATCTGGGTGGTTACTTGTTATGTTTAAACAAGGTTTGTATAGCTTACAGTTTTTTAAATCAATAAACTTTCAAATTGTTTTAATTGTTCCTTATTTCATTTCAAAGAAAATTTGCCGAATGACCTTTCATCTTTTCATGCCTTGACAAGTGACCGAGTGTAAACAAAATTAGGGACACCGAAACACCAGTTGACCAGTAAACTGGTCATAGCAATTACATCGGGCCCTATATCAACTTAATAACACCAGAATGTGTGGGTGTGTGTGTCTGATGTCTGTCTGTGTGTAATTTCCGAACGGTTATACAAAAAAAACGGTAAGAGTTACGGGACTGGTTTTTTTGGTATAGTGCCGACAAAACTCTGATGAAGCCCGTAAGCAAATTTTTTTTAAATCGGCCGGTGGTAAGTGGTTTAATTGACGGTTTTGTACCACAAATGTTGCATAAAATGGCTTTAGCAGAAAGGCAAGAGTTACGGGGCTTGCTCTCTATATCTCACTACTGTATAATATGTAGCTGCATTTAAGTAGCGTCATAATTGCGTTAGCCCGGGAAGATTCGCTGTAATGTAATACCATAAGCTTATTAGGGGAGGAGGACTGTTAGTGTTTGGGGTCTGTTTGGACTGCAGAGAGAGAGAGAGTTCATACGACAATGTTATGCGTGTTTTCAAATATAATGTGCGGGTGTGGTGCGGAGTTAACAAGGGTTAATTTCTATAACGATTTAAATCTAAATAGAAAGCGGTTCAAGACGGGAGTGATGAGGTGTAATACTCGGTGTTCAGACCTTATGATCATGGAATGTGGTGCCTCATGGCTAATAATGACTTAATTATCCACAAGAAATAACTGATTATGAGATTATTGTTTAAGAAACTATTGGGTCACCTAATGCGGGTTTTGACTCAACGGGTAATTAATCCTACCCTTTTTAACTGCGGCAGTGAAATCCCGGCCGAAGGCCGGGTTACACTAGTGCACCTATAAGTGAAGAGATACTAATTACTGATTAATGATTTGTGGCATTTGTACGGGGTTGTAGAGTACAAAAAAAATACGATAATTCGTGAGATTAATGCCAGGAATGCGCACAGATCTTTAATCAGTTAAATTACAGTGAAGTTGTCCAGATCAGGTGTGTAGCACGATTGTAAAACCACTCGAGGTTAATCAATAATCATATTTCGTCTTGATAGTGAAGTATTGTTTCGTTATTGTTATCAAAGTTTGTGTGTCTGATCATCGTGAAAGTTTAGGTAGATATAAGGCATCATGGTTTTAGGTTGGTATTAGGAATCCTGGTTATTGGTAGAGAAGTAATGTATATGTATATTGTAATGTATATGTTATATAATACAATAATATGTAATATAATATACAAACGAAAAAAAAAAAAAAAAAAAAAAACACTTACGGATTGCACATGATGGGAGTAATAAGATGACAGAACCACTTAGGAAAGGTGGAGAGAAAACCACTTTTGTTGCTGATATTAGGGATTGGTATTTGGTAGAAGTCAGCTTTCAGTGGAATCCAGGGTAGGAGCCCTGAGGTGTAAATTATTAATTACTAATTACTAATTAGATTAATTACTAATTAGACTAATTACTAATTAGACTAATTACTAATTAGACTAATTACTAATTAGACTTAATTACTTATTAGTCAATTATTGCTTGATTAAATTACAGATTATTCTCAGCTTGAGACTTAAAATTTATATAATAAATGTTTGTAATATCCAATTGAGGCACATGCAACCCCATCGCGGGTTTACTACTACTTAAACTCAAATATCAGAAAACTCAATCCATTAACTTGAATTGAATTTGAATTAATATTATTCTAATAATCACATTTCCCTTACCGATTAGCATGAGTAGGGAGTAAATTGACACTTCCATCATACTACAGAACGACAATCTGAATAGTGTGATCAGGTTTGTTAGATGAATCGTGAATGTCCAAACTAATCAACTACTCAACTAACACGATAACTACTATGTAATTATGTCTAATCGAATGATCAAGCTTACCTTATTAGCTAAATTATAAATTATAACTAATGCTTATGTAGGATAAAGGAACATAAAGCAAGTAATTCAAGCTTTACTTCAAATTAAAAATCAGCGTTTTATCTGCACAACATCTTTGATGGTTTCGTCTAGAAGCTAGTGCTATCGACCACAAAACAAGCTAAAAACCAAGCAAATTAAATCAATCTAATTATCCAATTAATTATCCAATTAACCCCAATTAACCCACATGTTAGGGTTATGCTCCCTACACAGCGAAGTGGTATGATGACTAAATGCTCCCCAAATTGTGAGATGCTCTCTGTTGTACTGCTTCGTCATATCTGATACTTTGCGGATAAGTTCGTCTCCACCAGGCTTCAGGTCCATCTGCATCGGTACCTGTACAGAACGGCCACATAAATGCTACAATATCAATTCTCTGTACAGAACCAGTAACGTGACGTTATATGGAGTTTTTCATCAAACATACACCTCATTTGGGATCGTTAAAAGAGAAATATTTTATCAATATCGTTATATTTTTAAAGATGTTTTACAAATCAACGGGTTAGACATATCTTTCAATTTCATTCTCAATAATAATGATAATAAAATAATGAAATGAATACATATATATATATATATGTCAGTCACACCTGCCCAAGCTAGAGAGCCATGGCAGGGCCAGCAAGCAAGGCCCGGACCAAAGCAAACTGAGCCGACTGGGTATAAAAAATATCAATATGGAAACAATAGTAACAATAATGAAATGAATACTAACAGTAGGGAACTTCTTGTAGAGATCCTCCAATCTAACCAGTGGCTGCTGTACCTCGCATCTCATAAACTCTCCCGGCTCGCAGGCGACCTGCAAATTATGGGGTTAATTTTACTCATTATGTTAATGAGGGGGTAATTATGGTGTATAATTAATGCGTATAATTGTATAATGAATAAGTACTTAGTACATTCCCCTGTATTTTCTGGTCTTTTATTATTTTGTCCACACAATTACAGAATCTAGTTTCTAATACTGGAAAATGTCGTACATGCCTTGAGAAATTTGCAGACAACATAAGATATTGTGCAGATAGGATACATATCAGTTTGTCCCAAAAATGTGGATGTGCAGTTAGAATTGCTCTGCAGATAACAAGGTTACCAGGTTTCTTCTACCCATGTCTAACAGGGACAAAAGGATTTCGCGATTATTTTGGCCAAAAATCGCGATACCGCGAATTTTAACAGACTATACATTAAACTATACATAAAATTTGTCGCAAATAATGGGAAAAATCGCGATTCCGTACATGCCGCGATTTCCTTTTGTCCCTGATGTCTAATACTCGATGACGTCATGATGATGACGTCATGATGATATCATGCTACAAGTAACTCACAAGTGGTCGGGTTTAAATGAGGATCAAATTGCACGGCGCAACGTATTTATTTACATCCCCTTGTATCTTAAATTGATACAGTAATTATGTAATCGATTGTAATTATATTGTAATCGATTGTTGCTAGTTCCCCTAATTTCATGGTTGTTTGCGCCATAAATAAGGCGTCTGCCGAATAAGCCAGAAGTAATATAATAAATAGTAATCTACCCATGGGATACGCATTATAGAAGTGGACCACATACAAAAAAAAACTGGTTTTAGGAATTTTTAAGGGTTCGGTATGTTTTGGCCACAGATGGGCGCTGCGGCACTGACATGTCCGGAGATTAGCCTTTTATCTACATATCTCATATCTCTCAGATTATTGTACACAATTTCAACACTTAACACGCACACTATGCATGTAAAGTGTCCAAATTGTGTACAGTAGTCACAGTTCCGTATGTTTTCCACTGTTGGCGCAGTTTTATGAAACATCAAATGACTATGTAATTAATGTGTACAGTCGATTAACATCCAATTCGAGTAGAACAACAATAATTGGTATTTGAAGCATGTAATTAGTAATACCTCTAATTATAACAGACCATGATACCATAGCAACAGAGGACGAAGAGCTTGATCACAAAACATTACTTTGCGATACACTATACAGCCTCTATTTGTTTTAGATAGCTCTTTTTGTTTTGTTTTTCTATTTTTATTTAGTTTTGTTTTTTTAAGCTCTTGTTTTAAAATTTGAAGTATCTGCAACTCTCATTTTTTCAACGTTTCTTTGCACTTGTTTGACTAAAAACCTTTATGCCAACGATTTCAATTATACCTCACTATCATATCAATATTACAATTCAAAAGATTCTTTTTGTCTGTCTGTACGATCGCCCACGTGCAAATCAGATGAGAAATAGGAAGTTGCATAGTAACCATGGTAACGGTGTTCAAAAGTGCAAGTGCAAAGATTTGCGAGTGACTTTTTGATTGGTTTTGTGGTAATTACGTGGTGTTCAGTGCGAGCTATATTTTAATTGGCTGTATCTTCGGTTGTGACGGATATTTTTTGATACGATAAAAACTGATTATATAATATATACATTAGACAACAAATCAAAAACAGGACACTATTTATGAAACACCCTGTATACTGTGTATAATATAGAGTATGGACTGTGCACCATTTCTTACTGTTGACTTAAGCTATCTTTAAGAAAGGGTAAGTCTACGATACTTACGTTACGGGTTACCACACCATAATACACGTCTTGTGTTCCCCATTCCATGTTCTCAGTTCATTTGTTATTTTACACAGTGTGAAGCTATTTACACAGTGTGGAGAGCTATTTGTTTATCCATATCACGTTCACCTTGTCTGCACTAATTGACTTGTTACGTGTTATTTGTTTGCAATGTGTAAGCCTTGTAAATCTGAAGTTGGTCTCATATTATGTCTTCAGTTTATAAGGTTCTTATCATTTTGCATTGTTCAGAATATATTTGTCAGTTCAATTCAATTTGTCTGGTAAATTTTAATAATCTCATATGGTCATTGATTTGATTTTTCGGTAAGATTCTATATCAATGAGTTAAGGTATTTTGTAGCACCACGTACATTTTTTTCTAACAAGTTATGATTTATCTCGCTAATTCTGGTGGAATGTCCATATCGAATTTCTATTCCGTCTTTGGTTAGTCACCACCAACTAAGCACCAAAGGAGCTCTAGTCTCTACCACACGCTATAGCGTGTACAATTGTTCACTGTACAGACAAATCTGTGTAACGTTTATCTTTCCTTTCTCTTCAGCTTATTTTTAATGACGTGCGGTATGAGGTGAACTGTGTTGGAAGTCTGTTCCCCATTAACATTTCAATCTTTGTTACAGGAACTTGCTTGTTTATAATTGTTTATTTCAACCTTCGTGATGTACATGTCTGTTTATAATAATGATTGTACGCTACTTCAAGTGCAGTTGTGTCGAGATATTGTACGTGATGTCGCTTAGTGCTGCAGTTGTGTAGTTTCAGGGAGTGTAACGAAACTATTTACAACAATTCCTTGCATGGTTAAAAGTTTATCGAGGCCGTCCAGTTTCTGTTTGCAGTTTGTGAGAGGGTTGCACAGACCGAGAGGAGTGTGACCCTTTCAGCCTTTACCTATAAAGGGTCGTGACTTTACAGTTCACAAAATCATTGACAACAATCGTCTATAGAATAATACTTAACGCCCACAATAACGTCAACCCTGACAGTTAGACTAGGAAGATAAATTCCCAGCAATTCTAGGAATTTGTGACGACGTTCTAGACTGCAGATTAGCTAATCAAATTGAGAAAATTGTGAAGATCACTCGCGATCTTCGATGAATTTAGTCATATTTTTAGTTGATACGTTGATACCAGTGCCTACCTCAGTTTAACATTCTACACTCAGTTTTCTTTAACTAACTTAAGATATTATAAGAAATTTGGCACAAGTAATCATCTGCATTCTGCACTGATTGTTATTCAGATTTCAGATGGTCTGATGGTCGTTATTCTCGTCTACTGCCCTTGCTCCAGTCTACCCTGACAATGGATCACATGCTTTTGTTCATTGTTCCGCTTTCAGTTTATTGTTCTCAGTTCCAGAGTCTATTTCCTCAAGGAGATTTAAAGGACAGTGTATTGTTAACTGTAGTTTTGCTCCTCTTAACGAGTACACCTGTTAACAGCTTTACTGCTCTAGTTCTAACTTGGAAGATAGATTTGTAACATTTAAAATATTGTATAACCACTATAAGGGCCCCTCTTAATTATTAAGAGGTCGTTCAAATATTACGTAATCAGCCGACCCCGAGGGGGGAGTGCCAGGGGGTTTCCAAATGATTAAGATAGTGTAATTTTGATACAATAGCTATGTGTAAAACTGATTACGGATGGGGGAGGGGGGTTACAGATTTTCTAAAAAGTGATTACGTAATATGTGAACGACCCAAAACCAGTTTGTTCTAACTTTTGAACTATCTTGTGATAATATCTGCAGCTTTTTTCCCTTATTTTTCTTGGTCCCTACTTAAAGTTAAGGTAAGTTTTTATACATCTTTTTTACGTCTACCTACAACAGAGTAGGAAGAGGAACATGCTCATAATACCCTACAATTGTATCAAGACATGACCACGTGAAGTCATCACAACACCACGTGACGTCATCACAACATCACGTGACATCATCACAACATCACGTGACGTCATCACAACACCACGTGACGTCATCACAACACCACGTGACTAAACATTTCTCAAGGCATGATAAAGTTCACCACATGGGCAGTCCTGAATGTAGCAGTTTTGGCTGTTTTGTTGATTTACAGCCTCAGCGAGGCCTCGTAAGTACATTCTTAAATTATAAGTTTCCATTTACAGTAAAACCCAAATTTACCAGACCCGAATTTACTGCACATTTTCCTTTTCTCCCAAACTCTGCAGTAAATCGGGGTAAAATTACTGTACATAAGATAGTACAAAGATCGAAGACACATTTCTATGAAGTATGATAGAAACATTTTAATAAGCATGTTGAATCTGCATTTTATTAATCATCTCATTTCACAGTGATAGAAGAAGGGCGATAAGCTACGATTCTAGGCGAATAACGATTCGGAGCAGTGGTAGTTCGGATGATGATACCCTACTCATTGCACTTGTGGTAGGCTTATCTGTCGTCGGTTTGCTTGTAGCTTGCTGCTTTTGTAATGGGGGTAACTGCGGGGGTGACGGCGGGGATGACGGCGGGGGTTACGACGGGGGTGACGGCGGGGGCGGAGGTGACGGCGGGGGCGATTGAATAGTGTAAGTCATTTCCATTTACAGTCTGTTATAGTCTGAAGTCTGAGCAATGTTGAGTTGATTCGGGATAAATTATTAGTATGTAATAAGGTTTTTAAACGAAATTGAATGTTGTATAATTCTATACTTTTTTTGATTCTTTAATATAGCTTCTTCCTCAAAATAGCTTCTTTATAATTTTATACATTTTACCCTGGAAAGAAGCTAAATAGTACATACAGTAACCTATTCACTTTGAATAAGGTTTAGAATTGTATTAGAATTGTTATTAGAATTGTTATTAGAATTGTTATTAGAATGGTTATATAGACAAGAAATAAGCTTGCAACTGTCTTGTGTCTGTCTAGAATTTTATGAAAATACATTATGTGTATGTTATTTTATCAACAAACTAAGATAAAATCATATGATTTTACTTAGTGTAATCAGGTTTGTGTAATCACAAACCTTCACAATTTTGCCTCAGATTTGGGGGGTTGCAACCTCCAAATATACATAAATACCTATACCTATTTTGAAATCGGAGGGAATAATAAGTATTTATGGGGTTGATGCCCCCCCCCCCAGATTTATATATTTTCTACGCATTAAATTATTTGATTTAATGGTACGTCACAACACCACGTGACGTCATCACAACATCAC